GTAATCCAGCATTTATGGGCAGTTTTCGCCTGGGCAGAAGTCAACTCACCCGGCTTTCAACTCCCTACTTCATTCTCCACTTCTAGCTTCTCCTCCTCTCCTCCAGCACGATCTTTGTACCTGGTTGCCGCGGTTTCGGGACAGCCACCGTGGCTGTCGTTCCACTGCCGGCCCCGAGGAACTTGCCCATTCCTCTCGGCCGCCCAAGGGGTCCCTTCTTGTCCCCCTGTCCCTTCAAGACAGGGGAGGTCCGAAGACCTGTCGGTGGCAGCTTGGCAGATGGGGTTTTGGCAGAGCTCCGTGGAGCTAGCTATCTCCCCATCTGTATCCCCGCGGCGCCAACCGGAAGTCCCACCCGCTTGCAATTCTTTAAGGCAGCTGCATTTTTTTCCTGGGATTATGCAGTTTTTACTGGGATTATGCAGTTGCCTTTCTTCCCCAGAAAAGGCAATATTTAAACAATATTTTGTTTAAAGAATTACAGACAAGTGCATCCCTGTCCACCATAGCAATGCACAGCCCTATGCTTATAATTTTTCTGCTATTTCAAGACAGGTGGACACAGTTCTAAACAAAACACTGGCTTCAGATAGCTCTCTTTTTCACATTGCAGGAAAGTTCAGAATTGGCTCAGTGAGTTAACAACTGACTGGCTGATTTTGGGCCAGTCATTCCCTCTCTCAGCCGAGCCTACCTCACAAGACTGTGGTGGGGAATATAGGGAGCCTGGTGGTGCAGTGGACTAAGTGCTGTTAAAGTAGCACTTAGTTGCCAGCTGCCTGCAATTACTGCAAGTTCAAATCTCACCAGGCTCAAGGTTGACTCAGCCTTCCATCCTTTCGAGGTAGGTAAAATGAAGACCTGGATTGTGGGGGCAATAAGCTGACTTTGTATAAAAAAGAACACCGCTTAGTGGGGGGCCGAAAGCCCTACTAAGCAGGTATATACAAAAGTATGAAGGCTATTGCTTAATGCATTGTAAGCCGCCCTGTGTTTCCGGAGAAGGGCGGCATATAAAATTGAACTAATAAATAAAAATAAATAATAAATAAAATAAATAAATATTTCAAATGTTTGTGGCTTTGAATTACTTATAAAAATAATGATGGAATATAAATAAAGAAATGATTTTTTTTTTTGGAGGATGGTGTTTTGCTTTGTGGCAAGTCAGCTTCCCATTTTTTTTAAAGTTTAAACATATTTGAAGAATATATAAATACAGTGGAGTAGATAAATTGCCAAGCAGCTAGGGAGGTACGTACAGGCGTACATTGGCCCTCTGGGTGGTGCAAATGGGGATCCCAGGCCTCAGATAATTGGTAAAGCATATAGATCAGTCATTAAATCACCATTCTTTTTTAATACTGAAAATCCACCCTTCTGCGGGCAACCAGGGGGTGGGAGGGACCCCTCCTCCCCTGGCGCCTCAAAGCAATGACACCCCACTTCCTTGGACTCACCCACTGTCCACAAGAGCATCACTTCCCGATTCAGCCAATTGCACAGAATGCCAGTCATGGCCGCGAGCAGCCGCAGTTCTGCGCCCTTTCCCCACTTGGCTCAAGACCAGCTTGAGCCACACTCCATGTCCCGTCACCACGGCAAACGGGCCTTTTGGGCCAGCAAGGCTAAAAAAACGCAGTAGAGCACAGCCCACCAAGCAGCACTGGGGAGAATTATGTGAGCTGATCTACAACTTTATGGCTGCCATCTGGGCTGGAACATGGTTAGCCTTAGATCTGGCCTGTGCTGGTTAGAGTAAATAGTTAGTTTAGGAATTAAAAAACATCCCCTTAAGGGATTGTTTTCTGGGAAATTTAGTTTATGTCACGTAGTCACATCTGTGTTTCTGATTGGCCACTGGGTCAGACTTGCTACATGTATGCTAGCGGGACTTTTTGAATTCCAGCCCTACCGGGAGCTGCTTGCTCCCTCAACATGGGACAAACTACCTCGTTTCACCTATGTGAATGGGAACAGATTATATGCACCTCAGAAGAATCTCTTCAGTGACTATGAGTTATTGTTTTGAGAATGCCTGACAAACAAAAGTAATCTGCATGATACTCTTTCCATGGAGTTTATCTGTCTGTGCCAAGCAGTTTGCCGCTTGAAACAGAACATGGCCCACAGGGCTGGCCTGGAGACAAGTGAGGGGCTACCCCTACTACCTCGGCCCTGGCCCCTGGCCCCGTGCACAGAAGGCAACAAGTGTGTGGGGCCTGGCATCCCTGGTGACCATCTTGCCCCGTAGGCTGACTACGTTCTGAGCACTTCTCTTTCACCTGGAACACCAGCCACTGCACGCTCGCTGCCTCCTGTGTAGGGGAAGTCTCCAGTCAGGCTGGATTGGGCCTGAGGCTGCAGGGGATGCCCCCTCGCCATCTCCAGGGCGGCCCCCCCAGGCCAAATCTAACCACATCATGGGCCAGATTTTGCCCGCAGGTCTTGTGTTTGACAGGTCTGTGTTTTAGCTTCCATCACCTCCAGCATTTAGGACATAGGTTTGACAGGTCTAAAAGTCCATGAAATACATTAAGTGACATCATCAAGTATTCATTCATATGTTTACACTGTAGAGAGAAAAAATGGCATGTTGAGAAATTAAATAACAGTGAAATACAAAAAGTACAGACTGCCACTTGAAAAATAATTTGGAGTCTATTTCTTTTCAAAGTAAGACTTAGACTCAGTGATCAAGCTAAGATAGAACAGCAATAGCAATAGCACTTAGACCCATATACCACTTTACAGTGCTTTACAGCCCTCTCTAAGCAGTTTACAGAGTCAGCATATTGCCCCCAACAAGTCAACCTTGAGCCTGGTGAGATTTGAACTGCCAAATTCTCCCCGAGTCCTTCAGGAGAAGGGCGGTATATAAATATAATAAATATAATAAAAGTAAAAAGTAAAGTAAAAATTGCAGGCAACTGGCAGTTGGCAGAAGTAGCCTGCAGTATTGCATTCTAACCATTGTGCCACCGTGGCTCCTGGTGGTTGATGGTTGATTTCATCTGGTGGTTAAGGCACCAAACTAAAAAGCAGGAGACTGCGAGTTCAAGTCCCACCTTGACCATGAAAACCAGTTGGGTAACCTTGGGCAGTCACCCTTACTCAGCTGAACTCATCTCACAGGGTTGTTGTTATAAAGAAAATAAGAGGAGAAGGGAGTATTAGGTTTGTTCATTGCCTTGAGTTTTTTTATAAATAATAATAAAAGCAGGGTATAAATAAATAAAATAAAATTCAAAATGAATATTAGCCTACCACTAGACTGGGAAGTTTTTCTTCCAATTTACTTGCATGTTTTTTAAACTGGGACAATTTTGAAGGACATTACTAGAACAATAATGAAACTTTCATCCAACTTTTATAGCTTGGGAAAGATTAGTTTACATAAGGTGTGATACATCTTCCCACTATATTTTAAGCCTTTCATAGTTTGAATAAATACATTGAATTGTGAGGAATTTTTCTACTGGTTTTCATTAACCTGACCCTAAAGCCCACCCAGGGTTTAGGGAGCATTTAACCTAAGACGTGGATCTAGACTAACCATGAATATCTCATCTCTGACCTACAAATAACTTTCAAAACAGCCTGTAAAACATGCAGTAGTATAACATGAAACTGAGAATGTGATATTCAGAGTGTTTGTTGTGTTTTGTGTTCAAATCATTTTAATTCCATTACCATTTCCAAAGGTGTTAGGGAAGATGTCAGGTATATATAGTAGTATGATTTCTCTCCTTATAACTATTAGAATGAGAATTGATAGTTTGAAATCATGGCATGTGTCATACATTCATTTTCAAGCAATTTGTCAGATAAATACAGAATTATACTCCAAGATCTCAGTCTGAAACATGCTAATTTAGACTAATTTCTTTGAATATAGTGGGATTTCTTGAAGAAAAAATACTTTGGCCAAATAAATCAGTTTTATACACCATGAGAACCCAATTTTTCAATCTTGGTAGCTGATTCTTTTGTTGGGATTGTCAGCTCTCTCCTTGAACTAGTTTTTCAGTTCATCAGCTTCCTATTTTGGTATTTTGTAACTGGAAGTGGCAGCAATAATAGAAGCCTTCCTTCCTTAAAACTAGCAGGACAGACACACCCTCCTCACATTACAAAAACACCAGTCTTTCCTGGGAAAAAACATGGGACACAAAATCATTTGTTATGGCAGCAGCTAGTATTTTCTTCTCTCCCTATGAACTTGGAAGAGAAGGAAGGTTGGCAATGACTTCACAATGGAAGTGTGATGTTAGTTAAGGAATAGCATCACACATAGACATGGGAGATGCAAATGCAAATTCACTCCTCCAAGGGTACAACGGCCACTCCCTTTGAGCTCAAACTCCTGAAAGAAATAACTTTCAATTGAAACAAGACATTGAACGTTGACTTCAAGATTGGGGAAGATGAGTTCACTAACAGGTCAGATGAGAAAGTAAAACCTTCTTCAATTCGGTATCAACCTCTGAGGGATTAGAGAGACCTGCTCATGCCGTTTTTAAGGCCCCGAGAAGAAAGGTTTGCTGCTGCCTCGAAATCCGTAACCTAAACTTCACCCTTGGATCCTACCGATCCCGCTACATTTTTCGAGATCAACTCAGGTCGGATGAGCACCGGGTCACTTCCTGAAGGCATGGTTAGCTCGGAATTTACGGACACGGTCCTCTTTCCTTTGGAGGCGCTGGAGAGTACGCTCTGCGCTCGCCGCTGCATAAGTCTTCCGCATCCTCTCTGCCAGGCGCCTGGAGGACCTTCCCAGAATGCCTCTGGGTAACGGGGGCCGGTTGGCTGTATCTCTTTGGCAGGTAGCGTCGCGCGCCTGCCAGCCGATCACGCTGTTCCTCTTCTTCGAAAGGTGATTGGGTGTTATCTCCGAGCGGCGTTCTTTCAGGCCAGCGGGACGTTTTGCTCTCCGTTTATCGTTGCAGCCGAGGGACGGGTGACTACGGGAGCGGGCTCTGTAGCGAACGCGCTGGGAAGCGGCCTGCTTCCTTTTCCTGCTGCCGCGTGAGGCCTTTTTCACCCTGAGATCGCAGGGCGCCACGGAGACACCACGGCCCAGGTTCTCTATGTCGAGGCCGCACTAACGGAGACTGGCCGTTTGCTTCGTTCGCTCGGAGGTGCCGTCTAGTCAGACGGCCTCGGTGCTCGTGACGAGAAAGGTAAGGGCTCGATGTGGGGGAGGGGGTGTGTGTATTCGTGTGCTGGAGTGAAGAGACAAAGGCTTGTCCTGAGGCCTGCGATCTCGCCGCTTCTCGTGAACAGACTTGAGGGAAAGTAGGCCCGGCTCCACCCGGAGAGCCTCCGACGCACGGATAGTCGTCAGATAATCTCGTTAGTGGGAGATCCCTGAAAAACGCCATTTCTGGACAATGGCGTTGTTGGTAACATAGTCTTATTGCTTCGACGCAGTCGGCGAAGATTTTGTTCGTTTGACGAACGTCTGTAACAAAGTTACGCGCAGACTGCCGGGGGCGGATGGGTTCAATCAAATGCCAGACTCTGACCTCCGATACTTGAGAGCGAGGGTGGTAACTAGTTCTAGTGAAGTGTTTAAGATAGCCTGAGATTTCTTTTGTTTACAACTGGTTACGTGCAGTCACCCTGATTTTGCACAACAGTAAGATTGTGAAGATTGAGCGTCTGAAAACGGATTCTGTGAGGTGGCTGAAGGAGAAAGTCTATGGAGATTCTGTCATCTAGGCCACTAGTTCTCTCAAAAGTGCTTTTTCAAAAGGCAACTGGCCTGTTTTTCCTTGAGGAAAAAGAACAGTCACAACTGATGAAGCTCCTTGGATAAGAAATGAAATGTCTTCCTCAAGGAAAAATAAGCCTTTGAAAAAGGTCGTTTGCTTTTTAAGGGAGAAAGGTTAGGCAGATCCTTTAAATCTTAATTGTAAATCTGGAGGGAGAAATGCCTATCCATATTTTATCCCTTTCCGCATGGATAGCAGTTACTCAAGTCACAAGAAATGACTTCTGGTTTTAAAAGAACAATGAATGTTACACTTCAGAGAATACAGAATATATTCTTTTACCTTCATCTAAAGAATTGCTGAATAGTGTTTCCATTATTTGATGGGACAAAGTAAGTCAGTAAGCCTGAGAGGAAAATTCAGAAGGTAATGTTAAAGAATGATATTCAGGAGTTTTGAGGATAAGGATATAAGAAAAGTGATAGTGAACTTTTGGTTTCTTTTTATTGAGATACTTCTGTTAGAGGGAATTGATTCTTGACAATTAATGTAAATATTTAGCATATTTAAGCATAGATTCCCTAATGTGTAGGATGTGATTTGCATGACAATCCAAGAGTTTTTATTATAGGAAGTTATAGAATACACAGTGACATTATTGATCTTACTGTATTAAAGATTATACATGAAAGATGTCAGTTCATATATTTTGAGTCTTTCAGTGTAAGATAAGGGCAGCAGGGAATCATGGTTTGCTCAGTTAATTTGTATACTGTAAGCATGCAAGCATTGTAAGCCACTTGAACTTTAATTGTCTAGTTCAAATAATGAAATTATATTTTCATGGGCTTTGTGGATGAGTGCAGTTTAATGATATATATTTTTATGTTCAGAGTTTTTTCTAAACATGCATAGATAGACATTTACACAGTGCTAATTTATGTGATAGGAATTACTGTTGCAGAATTCCCCAGTTTGGTATATTTGATTTACATCTTAACATCTATAGTTAGTATTTCTGGAGCTTTTCTAATTATATTCTTATCTGAATATCAGCAATAGAGCAAATATTGTTATAAATTCCTCTAACTATGGTAGCCACATAGTAGCTGGTGGTAGGAATAAGTAAACTTTGTAAGTGAGTAAGTGAACTTGCCTCTTGTTGCAGATTTTGTCCAGGCACTCAAAGGCCGCCCCAACTTTATTCAGGAATTTCGGGGTTGAAAAGCGGAGGGGCAGCACTGCATTTGTAGGCATCAGCTGTGCCTGCTGAAAAGCCTCCTGCTCCCCCCCCCCCCCCCCCCGCAGCTCCCTCCTTCTGAGCCTTCCTGACCACAATAGCAACCCTAGCAGGTGTGGCTGACGCCTACAAATGAGGCAGTTTCCCCCCCCTTCTTCGACTCAAAGCACTTTAAATTATGTAAAGCTGGTAAAGTAGTGAAACAAATTATTAGGATCAGATCCTTCAATATTGCATTCCACATCATATACATTGCAGAAGTAGGTCTATGGGCTGAATTATAAATATTCACTTTTTGTTTGAAGAAAGCATTGAGTTATATCCCCATGCCACAAATAGTTGCCAATGTTAAGATTGTTTTTTTGAAATCTAGAAGTGAAACTTGGATCCAGTAGCACCATGAGACTATGGTCCTATTGACCATTCTCATTCACATAGTTACATACCAAGCATTCTGTTCCATTTCAGGTTAAACAACATGCAGTATAGAAAAGAGGAAACAATAGTCAGCAAAATAATAAGTAAAAGTTCAAGTTATACTGGCCAGATCATATACCTCTCTCTATATTCTTCCTCATACTACTACAATGTCCTTTCATCAATTTATTAATTGATGTAGGGAGCTTTTGGGTCATTTATGACTATCACAGCATCCTGTAGTCATTTGATCATCATTTCACCGCCCTGAGTCCCTTCGGGGAGACGAGCGGGATATAAATTTAATAAATTTAATATATAAATTTATTTATTAAAATAAATTTAATAAATAAATAAATAAATAAATTTGTGACCTTCCTAGACAGCTTCTAACAAGCAAAGTCAATAAGGAAGCCAGCAGGAAAGAGCAAGTCACAATCACATGATATTTCACTTAATAATTCTGAATGATTTGCTTAATGGCTACAACTAGGATTGTCATTAGTAAGTGAAGTGCTCACTTGACGTTTTGCTTAACAACTACTTATTCTCTAAATCAGGGGTGTCAATCTCAATTACATTGAGGGCCAGATCAGCATTGTGGTTATTTGCCAGGAGGGGGGAGGGGCATGGCTGAGGTGGTCACAGCTGACTGGGAATGGCCCAGGGGTGTGGCCAGCTCGATGTCGCTCTCATGGGGGGCACCTGTAGGGGCTGGGCAGAGTTGGAGAGGAAATCCAGGGATCTCCGGTGGGTGGGGTGGTGGGCAGGGGGCTTGTCCCGTGGGATGAAGTAATGCAGGGGGTGGGGCAGCTGCATCCGGAAACCGTCAGCCACCTCATTCTCGCTGCCCTTTGGGCGCAAAGGCCAATGGTTTCCAGCTGCAGTAGCAGCCTGCCGGCCCCTCAGCTGGTGCACTCTGTGGCTCCAGAGCCCGTTGTTACCAGCTGTTGGTCATCTTCTTCTCGACCCCATCATGGGTCTTGCCCTTGGCCTGCATGTGGAGCACGTTCCCCTCAGTCCCTCTATGGACTGTTACTGCCACCACTCGGCAGATCCACCCAGCATGAAGAAGGCAAAGCAGGACTTCCGGTTGATGTCACGGCGAGACAGTTGGGGAAATAGCGGGCTCTGATGAGTCCCACGAAAACCCCAGCTGCCGAACCGCCGCCGATGGGTCTGCGGACCGAACCTGTCCTGCAGGGACGGGGGAAGAAGAGGGGCGCCTCGGAAGACCGAGAGGAACAGGCAAGTTCCTCGGAGGTCAGAGGCAACCCTCTGTGAGTCGGCGGCAGGGGGCGGCAGCCATGGCAGCTGCCACGAAGCTGGGACAACTGGGCAAGAAAAGTGCTGGAGGAAAACGAAGTAAAACGGAGACTTTTGAAGCCGGGTGAGTGACAACAGCCCAGGCTTGTAACAACGTTTGGAGCTACAATTGCAAGAAAAGTATGTGAACTCCTTGGGATTACGTGGAGTTTTGCATGAATTGGTCATAAAATGTGCTCTGAACTTCATCTGAGTCACAACAATAGAAAAACACAGTCTGCTTAAAATATTACTACACAAACATTAGATGTTGCCATGTGTTGTGACTCTGACCTCCGAGCCCGTCTTATCGGAGGGAGAAGACTCCGAAAGTGAAGGAGAGGAGTTGGCAAGGCCTCCCTCTCCAGGACCCTCCTCTCTGGCAATGCCTCAGGTGTCTTCCGCAGGAGAAGAGATAGGCCAGGAGCCAGGCATTTCCGAGCAGCCGCAGTTAGACAGCGACGGAGATAAGTCTTGGCTGGATCCCCGACAGCGTCGGAAAGACAAGCGCACGCAGCAGAGAAGGAGGCGTGCCAGAAATTAAGCTGAGTCACTGGACCACACCCCACAGGGGATAAAAGGGGGTGTGGTGGCCATTCAGGCTTTGTGATGGACAAAACTGAAAGCTAGCAAGTCATTCTGTATTTCTGGAACTTTGTTATATGCTCTGCTTGGACTGATTTTTTGGACTGGACTTGACTATTCTTTGGCTTTTGTGGACTTCGATGTTTTCGGTCGGAGGAGATAAACCTCCCTTTGTAAGTAAAAACTGTTGGCAAGCAGCCACTGGGTTGCTACCAATTCTGTTATCAAAGGAAATTCTTGTCTGTTGGTTTATTTTAACTCTTGGTCGACTGCTGGTGTGCGTGTGTGAGACGGGGAAAGAATACCATGGCTTAATTGAACATAACATGTAAACATTCACAGTGCAGGGAGGAAAAGGTACGTGAACCTTTGGACTTAATAACTGGTTAACCCTCCTTTGGCAGCAATAACCTCAACCAAATGTTTCCTGTAGTTGCAGATCAGACCTGCACAACGATCTGGAGTAACAAAACTGTTTCAGTGTAGCAATATTCTTGGGATGTCTGGTGTGAATCGCTCTCTTAAGGTCATGCCACAGCATTTCAATTGGGTTGAGGTCAGGACTCTGACTGGGCCACTCCAGAAGGCGTATTCTGCTGTTGAAGCTATTTTTTCATTGAATTACTTGTATGCTTCGGGTCATTGTCCTGTTGCATCACCCATCCTCTTCAGAGCTTCAGTTGGCGGACAGATGGTCGTACGTTTTCCTGCAAAATGTCTTGATAAACTCTGGAATTCATTTTCCCATCAATGACAACAATCCGTCCAGGCCCTGAGGCAGCAAAGCCCCAAACCATGATGCTCCCTCCGCCATGTTTTACAGTGGGGATGAGGTTTTGATGTTGGTTTGCTGTGCCTTTTTTTCTCCACACATAGTGTTGTGTGTTCTTCCCAAACAACTCAATTTAGTTTCATCTGTCCACAGTATATTTTGCCAGTAGTACTGTGGAACATCCAGGTGCTCTTTTGCAAACTTCAAACGTGCTGCAATATTTTTTTTGGACAGCAATGGCTTCCTCGTGGTGTCCTCCCATGTACTCCATTCTTGTTTAATATTTTCCTTATTGTAGATGTGTCAACAAAAATGTTAGCATGTGCCAGAGATTTCTGTAGGTCTTTAGCTGACACTCTAGGATTCTTCTTTACCTCATGAAGCATTCTGCGCTGTGCTCTTGCAGTCATTTTTACAGGACGACCACGCCTAGGGAGAGTAGCAACAGTGCTAAACTTTCTCCATTTGTAGACAGTCTGTCTTACCGTGGACACATGAACATCAAGGCTTTTGGAGATACTTTTGTAACCCTTTACAGCTTCATGCAAGTCAACAATTCTTGATCGTAGGTCTTCTGAGAGCTCTTTTCTGCGAGGCATGGTTCACATCAGACAGTGCTTCTTGAAACCAGTAAACCCAAAACAGGTGTGTGTTTTTAAAGGGCAGGACAGTTGTCAGCAACACATCCAATATCATCCCACTGATTGGAGTCAAGGTTGGCTCACTCCTGGCTCCAATTAGCTCTTGGAGAAGTCATTAGGCTAGGGGCTCACATACTTTTTCCTCCCTGCACTGTGAATGTTTCCATGTTATGTTCAATTAAACCATGGCAACATCTAATGTTTGTGAAGTATTATTTTAAGCAGACTTTGTTTTTCTATTGTTGTGACTTAGATGGAAGTTCAGAGCACATTTTCTGACCAATTCATGCAAAACTCTACGTAATCCCAAGGGGTTCACATACTTTTTCTTGCAACTGTATATTAGTAACTAGAAGACTCCTAGCCTAAAACAGCGGCTAAGCAACAAAGGGGCTTTGGAAATTTTTTAAACTGTAACTTTAAAGAACAAAGACCCGAGAAACAACTAATTTTGGAACAGAACTGAGAGACTTAATTTAGAGATATGGTAAAAGGACTTAACACTTTAAAAATTTGAATTGGACTAAGGGGGGAAAAAAAAGAAGGTTTGATACTTTTTTAACTAAAAGAAGAAAATAAAATGGATGGTTATATAATAATAAATAAAATTGAGTCTTGCATGACTAATGGGAAATGTGGATTATAGAGAGAGACACCATCTGGCATAAAGAGGAACTTTGTAACCTCCCTTTGTTATGAGAACTTTGAGCTCTACAGAAAAAAAAAAATTGCTGAACTGTGGAGGAGGATTTTCTTTCCTGACTGCAAGTAGCTGGACTTTGGTGAAAAGAAAAGGAATCTACAATAGAACTCCTACAGTTGAACAAATAATAATTTGAATGTTGGGGTAGGAATAGAAGAAGGATTAAGCGCAGCCTTAAAAGAAAGAGATTTGATACATTATATCCAGAATAAAAATATGAAAAGAGATTTAATTGGACTTATGGAGAATAAAATTAAAAACTTGGAAAATGGAAGGAAATTTAGTTTGCAGATGAGGAAATGAAGATAATGTGATTAAAAATAAAATAAAGATGATTGTAATAAATTAAAGGGAGGCTTTTATAGAAATTAAGAATGTTAAATGAAACTAATACATGTAAAGATATGTTTAATGCAAGCACTATGTTTTAATGGTAAAATGTTAAGATAAAGAATAAGGATGAATATGATTAATTGAAAATGCTAAAAGGAATTTAAAAATATACTTAAAAATATGTTTTAAGCAAGAACCATGTCTCAAGGTTAAAATGTTATGAATGCTATGAAAAAGGATAAAGAAAAATATGATTAAATGAAAAGCAATGCATAGATGGAGGGAAACAACAAAGAAAGGTTTAAGTAGAGATTGTTAAACCAACTATGAACATGCTGTATTTAACAGCCAAAAAGCTATAATATGCTGTATTGAACAGCCAAACAAATGGTCATGCTGGGTATCAGCCAAAATGAAACTTAATATGCCGTGTAACAGCCAAAAAACAAAAATAGAGATGCTGTGTTCAACAGCCAAACAAACCTTAATAATAATTTAATAATAATTAAATAATTAATGAATGTTTAATCTGTTTAATATAATTGTATGATTTATATTTTTAAAATATCCATCTAAGCAAATGAAAGAGAAAAATGAATTGATAACTGGTTAGGATTTGTTTTAATTTGTGACTGGAGCAAAAGTTTCTTTTTGAAAAGATGTGTTTTATGATTTTTTTTTTTGTTTAAAAAAAATAAAAAAAATTATCTAAAAAAAAAAAAGCAAAGCGGCCAGCTAAAAAGGCCAAGTAAAAGCAGAGACCTGGGCCTTGGCGTGCTCTACCACCTCTACTCAACCTTTCTAGCTGGCCGCTTTGCCTCCTTCATGCTGGGTTGGCCTGGTGCTCCAGGCAATGGCCTAATGGACCTGTGTGAGCTACTGGTGGCCTGGGTGGTGGCACGGCCCACAGAGGTGCCAAGGTGTGTTGGGTGCATGAGGGGAACACGCTCCACATGTGGGCCAAGGGCAAGACCTGCGAGGGGACTGAGGAGATGACCAGTGGCTCCTCTCCAACTGCAAGCAAAAACAGACGGCATGGAGTAGGCGCGCCGATGCTGTCCGGCAGAAGCCACCCTATCCCCTGCTTCACCTTGTCTCGGCCCGCAATGGCAGTTGCCAGAGGCAGAGGTGGATGTGCCGGGCAGCCACCTGTCCTGTCCCAGCCATGTGGGATGGAGCAGGCACGTCTGATGGTCCACATCACATGCCTCCCCCCCTGATTCTGTCTGATGCTGGTGCTGCCGTCACCGCCACCCCTGCTTCTTGGAGGGTCAGCCTGTTGGGTTGAAGCAGGCTGTGGAACCCCTGTTGCTGGATATCTCCCTGTACACATACACACGCACACATGTGAAAGGCTAGTGAGCGGGACATGGAGACACTGGTGCGGGCGCGGTGCTGATCTGCAACCTGGTAGCATCCATCCAGGCTGGACCGCAGCGAGCCTTAGATCTGCAGCGCCGCCTTGGCCCCGCCCTCTGGGCATGTGCATAGGAGGCGAGCATGTGAGGACAGGCAGTCCTGGGTGAAAGAAAAGCAGCCAAGGACGCCAGGCCCCGCATGCTCGCCACCTGTGTACACACCAAAGGGTTTCTAAGGCTGGCTGCGATCTGGGCCGCATGTCATGCCACCAGGTTGCAAATCAGCGCCACACCAGGGCCAGGCTGAGGCCCCATGGGCCAGTCCTTCACTGTTTCTCCGGCGGCCCCATGCCCGCATGCCTCAAGTTTGATACCCCTGCTCTAAATAAAGTACATAATTTTTTTCATATTTATACATTTCTCAATGACATGCTGAAGTATCCAATCTGTAAGCCCTGCTCACCCCCGAGATAAGATATTTCTCAATTAATATTCATTGTCACCTTACTGCACTTTCAATATGCTTTCTACCTAACTTCTTTCCAGGTTCTCAAGTTTAACAAGTAAACTTCTGTAATTTTTGTATTCATTCGTATTGTATTGTTCTTTGTAGAACAGCACAGTAAGGCATTTAAGCCAGCTGGATAACTTTGGGCCAGTCTCTTTCTCTTAGCCCACCCACCTCATGAGGTTGTTGTGGGGAAAATAGGGAGCAACAGTATTAAGTACTCTCGCTGCCTTGAGTTACATATAAAAAAGGCAGGATAAAATATAATAGTCATTATATTTTGTGAAAAATGGCACAATAGCACTTATACTGAAAGGAAATTTATCATATGACTATAGTCTGCTTAGCAAATTACACTTTAAGAGAGAATCTGAAGCATTATTATACCTTGGTAGTTGTAAATTTATATGGACTTTGTGTACACATATTCCTAAATGTATAGGAACAATGTAATTTATATATTTCTTACTCAGTATTAAAAGTGTCATTTCTTTATATTATAAATACAATAGTTTGCTATAAAAATAGTATCTGTAACATATAGTGTCGAATATGATTTGAAGTTGATTTTATAATTAATTATAATTTAATATATGATGTTGGTCTATTTAAACCTTTATCAGAAAACATTTAACCTTTGGTGGCCCTATTTTGCAGGTAGTATTTCTTAAGCAGAAATGAAGAATAAAAAACAATCTTTTCAAAATGCAGACGATGACAAACATCAGGCTGCAAAAGGTAGCTAACTTATTATTTGATTTTCTGAAAGAAATGAGACTTGAAATACTCCACTATTGATATTCTAGATCAAATATATGCATTATTTTATTGATATTAACATCTTTCTGAAACTTCTGGATTTAGCTGTTTACTTCCTACAAGTCCTATCTTATAATTAACAATGTTGATAGGAGCTGGAGGTATTATCTCAGTCAGATTCTAGTTGAGAAGTTTTCTAATTCCCAAAATATTACAATTGTTTCTGTTATCATAGATTAACAATTGAAAAGGGCTATATGTCACTAGGAAATGATTCAGTAAAAGTATCTTGGACGTCTACATTTGGTGATTATTCTAGAAACACAGTACATATTAACTAAAATAATTGGTTCTTCCTTAAATTTTTTGGAATTCCTTCTCCATGTAATGATGTACTGTTATCTAAAAATAAATCAAGTTCTGGCCATACATACATACATACTCATTCTATATAGTGAATTTCAGATTAGCTGTTTAATTTTTTCTTTATTTTCTGTATTTTTATTGTATAACTGTACAGCAGTAATTTCAATCTACTTATATGTATTTCATAACAGATGAGGAGAATGAAGAAAACTGTTCTTGCTCCTCTGACTTTTTATCTGATGAAGATGATCGCTGCCCAATCTGTCTAAATTGCTTGGCAGAGCAGGAAGTTGGCTTTCCTGAAAATTGCAACCACATCTTCTGCATGGCCTGCATTCTTAAATGGGCTGAAGTAAGTCTTAAGAGTGGCAAACAAAATTTAAAAATAGTTTACTTAACTTAAAAAAAAAACCTTAATAAAAATAATATATATTTTTTTTGTTTTGGTTGGCATCCAAACAAATACTCCTGAACTTACAACCATTTCTTTTTTAAAAAAAATTATTTATTGAATTTTCAAACATTAAAATACACAGTACAAAAAATAGAAGGGAGCAAAAAATAGAAAACTGTAACACACAACAAAAACAAACATACAAAAACAAACGCATCAAAGCTTAAACACTAATAACAGCTTTTCAACATCGGTATCTCTATCCTAATTAACTTCCATACACAAATTCTACTTTATCTATCACTATCTTAATTTACATCCTTATCTAAATTATACTAACTTCTATTCAGTTTCATGACATAATATTGCGTTTCAGCTTTACTCTCCAGCCAGGAATATCATCTATTCCAAATTAAATAATGCTCAGTGTCTTCCCTTTCCTAAATTTCCATGGATAATCTATCCATTTCTGCGATTCATATATTTTTAAAATTATAATTTGATCTGGGGGGATATCCGATTGTTTCCAATTTTGTGCTATGACGATCCTACTTGCAGTTAATATGTGCAATATGATATATTGTAAATTCTTTTCCATTTTCCCTTCCAAAATACTCAGGAGGAATAGTTCTGGTTTTCTTTCTATCTTCCACCCAGTTATCTCTTCCAGCCATTTTTTTATCTTCCACCAACATTTCCTAATCTTAGGGCAGGTCCACCATTTCTTTAACAACCATTTGAAGTTACAACAGCACTGAAAAAAATGAGTTACGACCAGTCCTCACATTTAGGACTGTCATAGAGGCGCTGCAGTCACATGATCAAAATTTGATCAATTGTTAAAATTTGCACTCAGCATATATTTAGGATGGTAGCAATGTCCTAAGGTCACATGATCACCATTTGGAACCTTTCCAGGGAGCTTCCAACAAGCAAAGTCTGTGGGGGCAGCCAGATTCACTTAACAACTATGGTAAAAATCATAAAATCCAAGTAATGTATGCTTATACCATATTGCTATATATATATATATATATATTATATTGCTTAGCAATAATTGTGTTTGTAAATTGAGGACCACCTATACTCATGCATAGTATTTTGTAAGCATTAAATTTTGATATGTATTGAAAGTTTGCTTTGGAATATAAAAAAATATTTCAAAAGCAATATAGACAGTGATTGATAGATCAAGTCCAGTTTTTAAAACAACTTCACTCTCATACCCAGCATTCTTAAAGTAGCTCTTTGAAGAGTAGCCCAAATGTAAATTGTGCCACACTCTTTGCATACAGGTATAAAAGGGCCTTAATTTCTTAAAGCAATTCTTGTAAACAGTAGTATCACATCTTCCTCTGTTCTGAAAGATACTATAATACCTTTTACTGATCCCTTGTCACTTTTTATTTCCATTGCTTAAAATAAGCGCTCATTCAGTAGGACAATTCTGTTTTATAAATATAATTTTTATTAAAGATATTTAATAAGAAAAATAATAACACATTTTAGAAAATATTATTTATTTATTTATTTTATTTATTTATTTTATTTCTATACCGCCCTTCTCCCGAAGGACTCAGGGCGGTGTACAGCCTAATTAAAAACACAAAGACAGACAAAATTTAAAAATAATTAAAATTATTAAATAATAGGCCCAATTTATAAAACCCCAAATTTAAAATCCCATTTAAAACCAATTAAAATCTTTACATTGATAGCCCAGCCTGGCGGAACAACATGGTTTTGAGGGCCCAGCAAAACACACGGAGATCAGAGAGTTTACGAATTTCTGAGGGCAGATCATTCCAAAGGGCAGGGGCTCCCACAGAGAAGGCCCTCCCCCTGGGTGTCGCCAGCCGACATAATTTGGCCGATGTCACCCTGAGGAGACCCTCTCTGTGGGAGCGAACTGGCCAGTGGGAGGCTACTGGTGGCAGAAGACGGTCTCGAAGGTATCCAGGTCCAATGCCATGGAGCGCTTTAAAGGTGGTAACCAACACCTTGAATCGCACCCGGAAGACCACTGGGGGCCAGTGCAGCTCGCGCAGGAGTTGTGTCACGTGGGCACAACGAGTTGCGCCCATAACCACCCGCGCGGCCACATTCTGGACCAGTTGGAACCTTCGGGTGCTTTTCAAGGGGAGCTCTATGTAGAGAGCATTGCAGTAGTCCAGTTGGGAGGTGACAAGGGCATGAGTAACTGTGCGCAAGGCGTCGCAGTCCAGAAAGGGCCGCATTTGGCGGATCAGGCGAACCTGATAAAAAGCCCCCCTGGCCACGGCCATCATATGTTCTTCTAAAGACAGCCGTGCATCCAGGAGGACGCCCAGATTGCGGGCCCTCTCTGTGGGGGGTAAAGACTCACCCCCAATAGTCAGCGATGGCACCAGCTGACTATATCGTGACGCCGGGAACCACAGCCACTCGGTCTTGGAGGGGTTGAGTCTGAGCCTATTTTTCCCCATCCAGACCCGTACGGCCTAGTGAAATAGTGAATAGATAAGAAAGTAAGAGAAAATTAGAAAAGAAAAAGGAGTGAAAGAAAAAGAATAAAAAAGGAGTTTCCGATCTTCTTAACAGGCTTATAAATGCATTTATATTTTATCCTCTCTGTCCAAGATTACATCATAATTTCCTTCTTTTCATAGTCTATTCTTAGTAGGATTTAATTCTGAATAAATATTCATATGATTGTACAATGTCCCTGCAGCTTGCTCTTGTATTTTTTATTCATTAATTTAAAATATTTACATGACTGCTGAAGGTGTTCTGGTCCCATGAATACTAAATAGTGATTAATACTTATTGTAAACATAAACACCAAACTCGTTCCTTTCTTTTGCTGTATAGAACTAAAGAAATACTCTCTCTTCTTTATAGTTGGAGATTAAAATCCTGAGTTTCTATAATTATTTTAAATGCTGTTCCAAACAGAAATATTGCAGATAGAAACTTATATCTAGCTTGTACAGAGGATTGATGTAATGGAAAAATATTGAGCCATGTGACACGCATCCTCTTTATTGCCAAAAAACAGCTAGATAAAGGTGTATCATTGTCCCATTAAAAATTACATTGGATCATAATATTCTTTATAATATTTTGGATTAATCTGAAAGTTAAATAAGATGCCAGAGTAATACTTTCATTTGTATAGAACAAATATTAATTTTTAGTTGTTAGCAAAAAAACATAAGCTTCAATCTAAGCATTCTCTAATCACAGCAACAGCAAAACCGTTCCAGTTATTCTTTAGCTATCATTTGCATAATTTATCCAGAAAACTTCAAAAGTGTTTTCCTTTCAATACTACTGTAAAAGCATTTCTGTTCAGAAATAAATCTTTTTTTTAATTCGAGTTTATTTCTGAGTATGCATCTATTTTTTTCAATCCCACTAGGTAGACCAGACCAGAAAATCAACTCCATAGAAAAAATTTATTTTATTGAAACAGGCTGAAATAGCAGAATCTCTTGCAAACATGGTTCTGTTTTACATCACCACTTCTTAAGCCACAGTGAATCAGAGAGGAATCTGCCTGAGTCTTTTCCCAATGCTCTTGTGCTTTCAGGGTTTAAGGAATGTTTCAGCCCTCTTTCTTTATGTAACAGTTCATGTGTAACTCTATCAAGGTCCTCTCCCTTATTCTTTACAATTAATTGCAGCCAAATTGATGCTGCAGTCTATGCTGGATCCCATATTCAGTCTGGAGTTAGCTGCCACCACACTCAAATAAATAACTTGTGTTTGTGGTTATGTACGTATGTTCTTTAATTTTAATTTTTTTTACTAATTAGAAAAGCAATAGAAAAAACAAAAAAGGAAATGAATATGTGTACATACATTAAAAGCATACATTAATCCCTAACTCATAAGTTATTTATTCTTGTGAGGAGTTAGTATTGTTTTGTAACCTCTGTAAGGAAAAGGTTGAAATAAAAATTTAAAATATGAAGGACTCTATAGGAAAAATCATTCAAGTAAACCAACTTTTAGTTCATTATTTTTTTTATTTTTTTTCCTAATCACTAACTCGTTTTTATATATTTTTATACTATGCTTTAAACAGCTACAATTTTATTTAAGTTATTTTAATTATTTTTTAAATTGTTTCTTCAAAAACCATATTCTAAGTGCCATAGTTTTTTGCCATGTAAAGCCTTTGCCATGCAAAGCCTTGCCATGTAATATATTTTTATATAAGGAATCCATTTCTCATACTATATGTAGGGGTGGGGGGAATCTAACCAAAAAAATCAATTTTTCCTAGAAAGAAAAGTTACTTAAGCTTTCCAAAATAATAAAAATGAAACAACTATTTACTTCCACCTCCTCAAAAGAAATTATGTAACTGCTAAATATTTGAGGGAATTATATTGTTATTCTACTCATGGAATGGTTCTTAATTTTGCTCATTCTGTGTTAAATCAATTCAAGGATCATCCAAGCATTTGTGGGTTATCTCTGTGAGTAAATAATAGGTGCATTGCTCAAGCAGCAGTCTATTCATGTAAAGTTGCATGTTAGTATATGTAAATGATAATATTTATTTTTTACATTTGTGAACTGCCTGTCTCTATCAAGGACTCTGGGCAGTGTACTATTAAACTTCAGAATATAAAAACAGTATATAAAAATTAAAATGTATACATTAAATGTGAAAAATAAATAAATGATAATACTTAGAGCTCTAAGTGGATACCAGGATAATATGATTCAAGTTTATGTTTTATATCCCTCATGAATTATAACCAAAACTTGTACTTATAATTTAAAAGAAACAATTTCAAATATTCATTTTAAAATTCTGAATACTAATTTAAATCTTAGACAAGAGCTTCGTGTCCAGTGGACCGCAAACAGTTCAAGGCTGTGTATAAACTAAATACTTCAGAAGATTCTGTAAAGGTACGTTCCAAGATTTAATTAATAAAATTAAGTTTTTCTAGTGTTTGTTTTCAGTAACAAAAGCAGATGAAGCAGCTATAGTTTTAATTCACATGAAGCCTTCCTTCCTCTTCTGCTTTGAAACTTAATATGTTAGAGATTTTGGTTTACTCTTTCTGAGACTGACAATATATTCTTACCTTGATTTTAAGTTCATGTGGAAAATAATACATTGAATATGTAGCAGTATTTGTAAATAATGTTTAAACAAGTGAATATTGTTATAGGTTCATTAATAATTTATTCCTAAAAAATAAACATTAGAATAAATTATTGGAAAACTTGTACTATTTTTAATATTCATTTCTTTGCAGGTTCAAATAAAACAACGAATAAGCAAAAAAGATGACATCATCAGTTGTAATAAGGGCAAGAATTGCCCTATAACTATGAAAACTTGCAAAAGGTTAGCAATACCACATGTAAACTCTCTTTACATATAAAAAAACATCTTCACATTTGAAATACTTCAATTTTAATATGTTTTTGCATATGAAGTAACCAATCAATATGGAGTTTGCAGTTTAGCTCAATGAGACAAAGGAAACAAGCTCCATATTGATTGGCTGCTGCTGCTGCTTTCACACCCCAATTCCTGAAGTAGCTTATTCAAACCAGCCAGTAAGTAGCAAGCAGGAGCTTGCTGCAGCCTGCCTAGGCTGGGCCGAAACAAAGCCTTCAGGAATACTGGCCTCATGGTAGAAAAGCCAAAGTCTTTTATTCAGATGCTGGCGAAGCTGTTTTCCTTAAATCTCACATTCTTACAGCTTCACCAGCATCTGAATAAATGACTTTGGCTTTTCTGCCATGTGGGTCAATCAATTCTAGAACTCTGGAGATCTTTGAAAAGTAAGTAAGTGATGGGAAATAGGATGGGAAGGAGCAGAATCTGGGAGGCTAGCACAGCAGGCCCAGTGCCTGTGGAGACCCGGCAGGGCAGGATTGGTGGGAGAAGGCAGGGGGCATTTTGCAGTGTCTCTGTGATCGGTTGTAAGGGTGAACCACCGGTATGTTGTTGCAACATATTTAAGTTCAGGACCAGGTTGTAAGTACTTTTTTGGGGGGTCGTAATTTTGAACAGACTCTAATTGAACTGTCGTAATTTGGGGAATAGCTGTATTCCTAATTATATGTACTATCAACCTTCATGTTGCTCAGAAGAACAAATGTAGTTTTATTTGCTTATTTTTTTTAATGGAGTGGGTCACTGATTGTTCTTTTTTTTGACTAGATTATTTATTTATTTATTTTATTTATTATTGCGATTTATATGCCGCCTTTCTCTCTAGTCACTCAAGGCGGCTTACAAAATGACAAATTCCAATACAAATCACAATAAAAAAAAATTAAAATCAACAACCCTATTAAAACAGTTTAAAATTATAACAGTGTATCCCCAAACGGATCAGTTAAGTTGACGAAAGAGCCATGTCTTCAGCTCGCGACGGAAGGAAAGAAGGTTGGGGGCTATCCTGAGCTCGGTGGGCAATCCATTCCAGAGGGTCGGGGCTCCCACAGAGAACGCCCTCCTCCTGGGGGCCGTCAGCTGACATTGTTTGGCCGACGGCACCCTGAGGAGGCTGACTGTGAGAGCACACAGGACGGTGGGAGAGCGGCTGGAGATGGTCCTGCAAGTATCCCGGGCCTAAGCCATGAAGGGCTTTATAGGTGAGCACCAGCACCTTGAAATGTATCCGGAGCGCCACCGGCAGCCAGTGCAGCTCATGCAGGAGAGGTGTTACACGGGAGTATCTAGACGCCCCCGTAACTACCCGCGCAGCTGCGTTCTGGACTAGCTGGAGCCTCCGGACGCATCCCAAGGGCAGCCCCATGTAGAGGGTGTTACAGTAGTCCAACCTAGAGGTAACGAGGGCATGAGTGACCATGGCGAGGGCATCCCGGTCTAGAAAAGGGTGCAACTGGCGCACAAGACACACCTGTGCGAAGGCCTCCCTGGTTACGGCCGTCAGATGGTCCTCTAAGGACAGCCGAGAATCCAGGAGGACACCCAAGTTGTGGACCCTATCAGAGGGAGCAAGAGTTTCTCCCCCGATCGTTAGAGATGGAACCTCCAGATCCCGGGATGCCGGCATCCACAGCCACTCAGTCTTGGAAGGGTTGAGTCTAAGTCTGTTCCTCCCCATCCAAACCCGCACCGCTTCCAGGCAGTGGGACATCATGGAAAGGGCATCCCTAGGGTGGTCAGGGGTGGAGATGTAAAGCTGGGTATCATCAGTATATTGATGATACCTCACCGCAAAACCACAAATGATCTCACCCAGCGGTTTCATGTAGGTGTTAAAGAGCAGAGGGGAGAGAACCGATCCCTGAGGCACCCCACAAATGAGAGGCCTCTGGGAGGATCCCTGACCCCCCGCCCAAACAAACTGCAGACGACCAGAGAGATAGGAGGAGAACCACTGTAAAACAGTGCCTCCTAACCCCATCTCCCCGAGCCGCTGCAGCAAGATACCATGGTCGATGGTATTGAAAGCCGCTGAGAGGTCAAGAAGGACCAGGATGGAGGAACAACCCCCATCCCTGGCCCGCCAGAGATCATTTACTAGGGCGACCAATGCCGTTTCCGTGCTGTGACCACGCCTGAAACCAGATTGGTAAGGATTGAGGTAGTCAGTTTCCTGCAGGAATTGAGGGAATTGCTGCGCCACCACGGACTCAACAACCTTCGCTAAAAAGCGAAGGTTGGAGACTGGATGGTAGTTGTTAAGAACGTCAGGGTCCAGGTTAGGTTTCTTAAGGAGGGATCAAACCACCGCCTCTTTGAGTGCAGCGGGGAAGACCCCCTCCCTTAATGAAGCATTGACAACAGCCTGGATCCAGTCTCCAGTCACCTCTCTGGCTGCCGAAACTAGCCAGGAGGGACAAGGGTCCAATAAACACGTGGAGGACCCCAGCCTACCCACAATCCTGTCCACGTCATCCAGCGAAACCGGCTCAAACTCAACCCAGATGTTTCCACCAAGACTAGCCCCTGTCACCTCAACAGACTCTGTCCAGTTGGAGTCCAACCCGGTCCGAATCTGAGTGATTTTATCTTGCAGAAACTGTGCAAAATCCTCAGCACGGCCCTGCAAGGGATCCTCCCTCGCTCCCTGATTAAGGAGGGAGCGGGTCACTCTAAACAGGGCTGCTGGGCGGTTTTCTGCAGATGCAATGAGAGTGGCGAAATAGTTACGTTTCGCCACTTCCATCGCCACAAGATAAGACCTAATATGAGTTCTTAGTTGTGTTCGGTCGGACTCGGATCAGGAGGATCTCCAACCACCCTCCAGGCGTCTTTTCTGACGCTTCATTTCCCTGAGCTCCGCGGTGAACCAAGGAGCCGCCCGGGATCTGCATCGGATCAGAGACCGCAAAGGCGCAATTCGATCCAGGGCCCCCACCACAGCCCGTTCCCAGGCTGCGACAAGGGCCTCAGATAAATCGTGAGCTAAGGAGGCGGGAAATGACCCAAGCTCCATCAGGAACCTTTCGGGTTCCATCAGGCACTTGGGGCGGAACCATTTTACCGGCTCCACACCCCTGCGATGGGGGATGGCGGTGGGAAAGTCAAGCCTAAGGAGGGAATGATCGGTCCATGACAGAGGGTTGATAGATAAAGTCCCCTCCCCATGGTCATTTATCCACCGTCCAGAGAGAAAAATCAGGTCGAGTGTGTGTCCTCCAATGTGAGTTGGGCCATGTACAATCTGAGTTAGTTCCATGGCCGTCATGGAGGTCATGAACTCCCGCACCAACTCAGATGTCTCACTAGTCGACGGCAGGTTGAAATCTCCCACAACCAAAAGGTTGGGTAGTTCCACTGCCAATTCGGCTAAGACATCTAGTAGTGCGGGCAGAGCTGAGGCCACGCAGCTGGGGGAGAGGTACGTGATCAACAGCCCTGACTGAACTCCAGGGTCCCATTTCAAAAGAAGGGATTCACACCCGCCTATCTGAGGAACGGTGACCTCCCTAGGACTGAGACTTTCCTTAATAATTACCGCCACTCCTCCGCCCCTCCCCTGGAGTCGCAGCTGGTGAAGTATCCGGAAACCTGGGGGACATAAATCCATGAGAGGGACACCACCCTCCGGTCCCAGCCAGGTCTCAGTGATACAAGCCAGGTCTGCGTTATTCTGGATTGTAGTTTTGTTAAGATATCTTAAGATTTTTTTAAAAGATGCTCAGATTCATTATTACAAACATAACATCAATAATATACACAAACATAAAATTAACTTAATTATAAGTAATCTTTGGTATGTTTTTTTCCCAGAAAACAGGAAAATGCTGGCATAAGTTTTTTACCAGTAATCTATAAAAGCTGGAATCCAAAATACAGTAAGTGAGTCATTTTGGTCAACTTCTTGGCCTTCTTTTGACATTTTCACAAACCATGTGTTATTTGTTCTTTGGATATATTTGCTATTCTAACTAATTAACTATCTTGGGCAGTTAAACTGTTCTGAGGAATGCTTTGAGTATATTTGTTTTTCTGCCAAATTCACTACCTTAAAGTTTCTAAAAGTCTTCCTATATTAGCCTGTTAAAGCAAAAAGTTAACAGAAATTGTAAGTAATTATGTTATAGCTTAATTTTTTATGAGTTATAGTTTAGTACATATCTTGAGCAAATTTCCCCAAAGCACAAAAATCTTTGCAAAATCAAAATCCTTTGTTCACATAAGTCTGTTCATACTCATATTTTAAGGTTGTTTTTGCATATATGGATGTGTTTCTACTTCAGTTAACAGATCTAAGTGCAGACAGACATATCAGGCAAAATCTGTACTTCATAAATTGCATGAAGTCCAGTTTTGTGATTCAAAAAGCCTATTTGGTTTTTAAAATACTATCAATATACTCTTGTAACCTATTTCCTGCATTTTAAAATTCAAGGAACAGGAATTTTTTTGTTTCAATAGAGTGGTCCAGTTGGGAAGCGGATCAGATATTTCTCTAATGATAAATTTTAAATGAATGGCCAAATACGTACCATGGCATCATTTAAATCCATGTTTAATTCCATTAAAATTAATTTGAACTTTTATAATTCAGCTATGCTTTGTAGCCTTAAAAAAAATCAAAGTATGGAAGACAATATAAATATATATAATTATTGTATAGAGGCTATATGATTATGAATAATACATAAGATTCAGATAAAGGTTTTCGTAATTTGATATTTGGGAAAAAATTTCTCTCATAATTTGACATCGGGGGTCATTCAATTAAGTTTAATAGTTTGAAGTTATAAAAAAAATGACTCTTCCTCACATTCCATAGTTCATGTAATTACACCAACAATGTTGATTTTAAAAGAAATGGAAACCATATATGTCAAATATCTAGATAGCTAGCATTCATAATAATAACATTTCTAGTATTGGGAGAAGTATCCTCTTAATATCAATTGCTGGGAAACTTGGATGTGCCTGTTGTACATATGGACTTGCCATAGATATCTGTCATGGCAATGTGGAAACAAGTTGTTGGATTAAGTTAGTTTTATATGGTATCCAGCAGAATTCTTATTTTGGTTTTAAATGCTATGGCATTTAATGCTGTGTGATGAGGACATGAAAGTTTCCCTTGCAGAAAACTTTCCTTGCAATTGCTGCATTACTGAATTGCAGCTTGCTTATTGACTTAACTAAGAGGTTAAGAAAGAAATATATATTTTACGTGTCATTCTAGATAACTTTTTCCCTGCTTTTCCCCCCCTGCATTTTAAGTTCTTTCAGTAGTTAAATACTTGCAATAGAATTTCTTTAAAATTAATTAGGATTGACAATTACATTTGCCATAGGTCTTAAAAGATCAAGTTGAATATTTTCTTTTTTGTTTTAAATATAAAGATCCTGCAAACAAGGAAGAAGTTACAAATTCAGTGAAGAAAAATAAGGTTTGTTCATATTGTATATTTAAAATAATGAAGATTTCAAATTATTTCATTTTAAAAATCTTCACTTTTAATATGTTCCTAGATAAATTTTTCGTCTCCTTCATATGTTTGAACTATTGCATTTTCTGTTTTGTTGACATTTAAACTAATCATTGTGAAGTTAACTTATGGTACTTTTGAAAGAATTTAGAAATCTTAAGTTTGAAAAATGTACTGTTTTATAATATTAATTAGATCTAACTAAAGCACAAGTGTCAAACTTGCTGTGTCACATTGCTGTCATTTGACCTTTTGCGACGTTTTCCCATTTGTGGAGATGGGGTGGGCATGGCCTGTTCTTGACGCATCCGGCCCGTGGGCCGCCAGTTTGACACCCCTGAACTAAAGGATATACCATATTTTTCGGAGTATAAGACACACTTTTCCTCCCTAAAAGTGGGTGAAAATTTCAGTGCGTCTTATAGACCAAATACAGGAGTGTATTTGGCCTCCCGGACCCTCTGTGTGTCGTGTTTTCGCCCTCCCCGGCCCCCAGAAGCACTCTGCAGTGCTCCTCACATCCTGTTTTCACCAAAAAACGGGCCTGTTTTCACAAAAAATGGGGTCATTTTTGGACTCCCAAACCCTTTCCATGTCGCGTTTTCACCCTCCCCAGCCCCCAGAATCACTCTGCAGTGCTCCATATGTCCCGTTTTCACCAAAAACGGGTCAGTTTTTGGCCTGCAAACTGCTTCTGGGGGCCGGAGAAATCAGGACACGTGGAGGCCAAAAACTATTTTTTTTCTTGTTTTCCTCCTCTAAATCTAGGTGTATTTTATAGTCCGGTGCGTCTTATAGTCCGAAAAATACAGTAATATAAGTAAAATTGGGCAATTGAAATAAATACATCTATGATTTGTTTTAAACACTAATTTATAATATATTTGTTTTGGATTACTGTTTTTATAAAGTCATGTCATTTTTAAGCATGGTAAAATTAAATATGTTAAACATTTTCAATTTCTTAAACTGCTATTTAAAATAGCACACATTACAAGAAAGTCTCGTTGAAATCTCATTAAAACGAAAAGTATACCTACATAAAACAGCTTGTAAATTGTTTTAAATAAATACAAATGCCTACATGCTAACTGATTTGTCATAATTTAAACTATTGAATGGCTTATTTAAAAAAGTACAGTTCTTGAAAAGAAAAGTGGATTTATTTAATATGACATTTAATTTACCTCATCCAGTTTTACTCACCACACTATAAAAAAGATATTGAGACTCTAAAAAAAGTGCAGAGAAGAACAACCAAGATGATTAGGGGACTGGAGGCTAAAACATACAATGAACAGTTGCAAGTACTCGGCATGGCTAGTCTAGTGAAGAGAAGGACCAGGGGAGATAAGATAGCAGTGTTCCAATATTTGAGGGGCTGCCACATAGAAGAGGGGGTCAAGCTATTTTCCAAAGCACCCGGAGGCCAGACAAGGAATAATGAATAGAAACTGATCAAGGAGAGACTCTACCTAGAAATAAGGAGAAATTTTCTGACAGTGAGAACCATCAACCAATGGAACAGCTTGCCTTCCGAAGTTGTGGAAGCTTCATCGCTGGAAACTTTCAAGAAGAGACTGGACAGCCATCTGTCAGAAATGGTGTAGGGTCTCCTGCTTGGATGGGGTGTTGGACTAGAAGACCTATAAAATCCCTTTCAACTCTGTTAAACTACAGTATACACTATTACATTCATCTCCCTAATGTTTTTATCAGTATGCAGTATAAGAGCCGAGGTGGTGCAGTGGTTAGTGCAGTACTGCAGGCTACTTCAGCTGACTGCTAGCTGCAGTTTGGCAGTTCAAATCTCACCAGCTCAAGGTTGACTCAGCCTTCCATTCTTCTGACGGTTAAATTAGGAGCCAGATTGTTGGGGGCAATATGCTGACTCTGTAAAACCGCTTAGAGAGGGCTGTAAAAGCACTAAGTGCTATTGCTATGCAGATGATACTCAAGTTAGACATCTCTATCTCAGACTAAATGAAGGATATATTATAGTGGAATTCATGATCAAAATCAATCTAAGCAAGACAGAGTGGCTTTACATTTAGAATCCTATTCAGGGATTATTTCATCTTTGATACTCAATGGGATGGTGTTGCCCCATGGAGAGGTAATCTGCAATCTAGGAATCATCTTTGGGTCACGTTTCCTGCTAGAAAGCAGTGGCCAGCAGGAACTTTGGCCAGGTTAAATTAGGTTGGTGCACCAACTGTAATATTTTGTGGAACAAGAAACACTAAAAGTGATTACACATGTCCTTCATACCTTCCTTATGGATTTCTGTAATTTGCTTGATATCAGCAAGCCCTTGGAGACAACTCAGAAGCTTCAAATGCTGCAAAGAGCATAGTCCGTATACTTACTGAAAATACTTCTAGATAATTCCATTGCTGCAGGAAATGCATTGATACCAACATGTTTCTGATTGAACTTCAAGGTGCTTGTTATCACTTAACAAAACTTTCTATGGCTCAGTGCCTAGATGTCACTGAAACACCCTTCTCTCTATTGATTCTGTTTGCTTAATTTGAGACATAAAGTTAGCTGTTTTGGAAGGCTGTTGAAATTTGAGTGCTGTAGAACTGGTGCTGATAATGTCTAACTGGCAGTTCAACAACCAATGTCATGTACCATTCTGTCATTAAAAAACTATTATTTGATAATATTGCAGTTTTATGCATAGTCAGAAGTAAATCCCATAAGTTCAATGAAATCTTTTTCTTTGGTAACTTGAGATGTAGATGAACATATATCACAGAAGATCAGGATAATTCTGATATACAGTTTGACAGTGATGAGGAAAGAAATGAAATCTACAAAAATCAAGTTAAAACAGTATCTTTAATTTACAGTCTATGCCATTCAGCAAAGTCCATGCTATTCTACCTTGAGAGGGCTTTTTGATTAGTGAAAGAGGGGTAGTTAAATCCAAATCATATCTTTAGCTTGTGTGTAGTCATTGTGTAGCTTTCAGGCCACAGCATCTTGCTGATAATGTTAATACTCTATAAAATTAATAATTAAACAAATCATTAGATCTATGCAGATGCTTAGTAACAAAGAGATAAATAATATTTCAGAAATATAACTCAAATTCTAAAATATTCAGAACTTTAAGAGAAGATTGAACTAACATTCATGAAATGACACACACACACACACACACACACACACGTGTAACCAAGACTTAAAGTAACTGGAGAATTCAAACTATCATGGGGTTTTAGTACATTTAAAATATCTACAGTATCTGTGATCACTAATATTCATCATCGGTGTTTGTTTTTTTAAAAAAACACATTCTAATTGAAATGGCCTAACTATAACGTATATTTCAGCTTCTTTGATTTCCAAGTAGCGCTTTCAGACCAAATGTATAGGATAGGGTGCATACTTTTGTGTGCAAAATGTGAGCTCTCTCATGCAGGTTGTTGTTCTTGTTGTTGCTGTTAGTTGTGAAGTTGTGTCCAACACATTGCAACCCCATGGACAACATTCCTCCAGGCCTTCCTGTCCTCTACCCTCCTCTGGAGTCCATTTTAGCTCACTCCTACTGCTTCAGTGATTTCCTCCAGCCACCTCATTCTCTGTCGTCTCCTTCTTTTGCCCTCAATCTTTCCCAGCATTAGGCTTTTCTCCAGTGAGTCCTTCCTTCTCATTGGGTGGCCAAAATATTTGAGTTTTCAGGATCTGGCCTTCTAAAGAGCAGTCACGATTGATCTCCTCTGGGACTGACCAGTTTGATCGCCTTGCAGTCCAAGGGACTCACAGGAGTCTTCTCCAGCACCATAGTTCAAAGGCCTCCATTCTTGGCGCTCAGCCTTTCTTATGGTTCAACTTTCACAACCATTCATTGCAAGTGGGAAAACCATAGCCTTGACTATACACACTTTTGTTGGCAGGGTGATGTCTCTGCTTTTTAGAATGCTGTCTAGATTTGCCATAGCTTTCCTCCCCAGGAGCAAGCGTCTTTTAATTTCTTGGCTGTAGTCCCCATCTGCGGTGATCTTGGAGCCCAGGAAAATAAAATCTGTCACTACCTGCATTTCTTCCCCATCTATTTGCCAGGAATAGAGAGGGCTGGATGCCATGATCTTAGTTTTCTTAATATTGAGTTTCAAGCCAACTTTTGCATTCTCCTCCACCCTCATCAAGAGGCTCTTTAGTTCCCCTTCACTTTCTGCTATTAGAGTGGTATCATCTGCATATCTGAGGTTGTTGATATTTCTCCCGGCAATCTTAATTCCAACTTTTGATTCATCTAGCCCCACTTTTCTCATGATGTGCTCTGCATATAATTTAAATAGGCAGGGCGACAGTATACAGCCTTGCCGGACTCCTTTCCCAATTTTGAACCAATCATTGGTTCCGTGTCCAGTTCTCACTGTTGCTTCTTGACCTGCATATAGGTTTCTCAAGAGACAAATAGGATGGTCTGGTACTCCCATCTCTTTAAGAACTTGCCACAATTTGTTATGGTCCACACAATCAAAGGCTTTAGCGTAGTCAAGGAAGCAGAAGTAGATGTTTTTCTGGAACTCCCTAGCTTTTTTCATGATCCAGTGTATGGTGGCAATTTGATCTCTAGTTCCTCTGCCTCTTCGAAATCCTGCCTGTACTTCTGGTAGTTTTCGATGCACATACTGTTGGAGCCTAACTTGTAGGATTTTAAGCATAATCTTACTAGCATGTGAGATGAGTGCAATGGTGCAATTGTTTGAACATTCTTTGGCATTGCCTTTGGAATTGGAATGTAAACTGACCTTTTCCAATCCTGTGGCCACTGTTGAGCTTTCCAAATTTGCTGGCAAATTGAGTGTAGCACTTTCAGTGCATCGTCTTTTAAGATTTTGAATAGCTCAGCTGGAATACTGTCTGCTCCACTAGCTTTGTTATTGTTCAGATTTCCTAAGGCCCATTTGACTTTACATTCTAGGATGTCTGGCTCGAGGTCAGTGGCCACCCCATCGTGGTTATCAAGGATGTTAAGCTCGTTCTTGTATAGTTCTGCTGTGTAATTTTGCCACTTCTTAATCTCTTCTGCCTCTGTTAGGTCCCTGCCATTTTGGTCCTTTATCATGCCCATCTTTGCATGAAACGTTCCCTTCATATCTCCAATTTTCTTGAAGAGATCTTTGATCGTCCCTATTCTATTGTTTTCTTCTATTTCTTTGCACTGTTCATTTAAGAAGGCATTCTTATTTCTTCTAGCTATTCTCTGGAATTCTGCATTCAACTGGGTGTATCTTTCTCTTTCTCCCTTGCCTTTTGCTTTCCTTGTTTCCTCAGCTATTTGCAAAGCTTCCTCAGACAGCCATTTTACTTTTTTGTGTTTCTTTTTCTTTGGGATGGTTTTAGTTGCTACCTCTTGTACAATGTTGCGAACCTCTGTCCATAGCTCTTCAGGCACTCTGTCTATCAGATCTAATTCCTTGAATCTATTTGTCACCTCTACTGTATATTCATCAGGGATATAATTTAGTTCATACCTGAGTGACCTATTGCTTTTCCCTACTTTCTTCAATTTAAGTCTAAATTTTGCAATGAGAACCTCATGATCTGAGCCACAGTCAACTCCTAGTCTTGTTTTTACTGACTGTGTAGAGCTTCTCCATCTTTGGCTGCAGAGCACATAGTCTGTGTTGACCGTCTAGTGATGTCCATGTGTAGAGACGTCTCTTGGGTTGTTGGAAAAGAGTGTTTCCTATGACCATCGTATTATCTTGACAGAATTCTATCAGCCTGTGCCTTGCTTCATTTTGTACTGCAAGGCCAAACTTGCCTGTTATTCAGGTTATCTTTTGGCTTCCTACTTTAGCATTCCAATCCCACATGATGATAAGGACATCATTTTTTGGTGTTAATTCTAGAAGGTGCTGTAGGGCTTCATAGAACCAGTAAATTTCATTCTCTTCAGCACCAGTGGTTGGGGCAGAGACCTGGATTACTGTGATATTGAATGGTTTGCCTTGGATTCGAACTGAGATCATTCTGTCATTTTGGGGATTATATTCCAGTATTGCTTTTCCTACTCTTTTACTGATTATGAAGGCTACTCCATTTCTTCTGAGGGATTCTTGCCCGCAGTAGTATACCTGATGGTCATCTGAATTAAATTCACCCATTCCTGTCCATTTTAGTTCATTGATTCCTAAAATGTCGATGTTCAGTCGTCTCGTGTTTGACCACGTCCAGCTTGCCTTGATTCATGGATCTTACATTCCAGGTTCCTATGGAGAATAGATCTTTACAGCATCGGACTTTCCTTTGACCACCAGATGCATCCACAGCTGAGCGTCCTTTCTGCTTTGGCCCAGTCGTTTCACTCTTTCTGGCGCTACTAGTACTAGCCCTCTGCTCTTTCCCAGTAGCATATTGGACACCTTCTGACCTGAGGGGCTCATCTTCCGGCATCATATCTTTTTTCCTTTTGGTACTGTCCATGGGGTTTTCATGGCAAAGATAGTGGAGTGGGTTGCCATTTCCTTCTCCAGTGGGTCATGTTTTGTCAGAACTCTCTGCTATGACCTGGGTGGTCTTGGGTGGCCCTGCACTGCATAGCTCATAGCTTCATTGAGCTATGTAAGCCCCTTTGCCATGACAAGGCAGTAATCCATGAAGGGGCTCATGCAGGTAGAGTCTAGTAAAATAAGATTCAGAGTATGTTGGAAATTGTCTATATATGGAGAAGTATAGTGGCTGGATGGTTTTGTACTCCTATTTAACATCTGCATGAAGCCAATGACCATCCATTATCCCAAGTATGGATGTCATCAGTATGCAAACAATATCCAAGTTTATATCTGACCCTGTCTGAAAAAGTGATATTGTCAATGTTATCAAAGTGCCAAGGCACTTTTTTTTAAAAAAATTGATTTATATGTCGCCCTTCTCCGGAGACTCGGCGGCTTACAATGTGCTAAGCAATAGCCTTCATCCTTTTGTATATTTATACAAAGTCAGCTTATTGCTCCCACAACTGGGTCCTCAATTTACGTACCTTAGAAAGGATGGAAGGCTGAGTCAACCTCTACTTTGACAGTAGAAATGAAGAGATTGAGTGTTTTGGGTTGAAAAGCCAGATCTGATTCCAGAGAAATATGGTATTTTAATTTGAATGGGATCATAGTGCCCTGAAAAGAACTAGGGAAGTTTGTTGGATTTGCAACTAGGGAATTTGCAACTAGGGAACTAGGGAATTTTCTTGGATTTGCAACTCTTGCTCGAGTGATTGTAGCAGCTGTGGCCAAGAGTTACATTACTCACTGTAACTCAAATCTTGGCCACTTCTTTATTGGACTGTGATAAGAGAAGAGCATTCAGAAGCTACATGTGATCCAAACTGATAGTTCAGATAGTTAAAGAGAACTTTGAGGCACCCATAAAACATCTCTACTACAAGAACTGCATTAGTTACCAACCTGGTTCTGGGTTCAAATTAAGGGTTTAGTTGTCATTTTTAATACCTTTTGGAGTCAGGACCCACATCACCTTCTGAATATCTGACTGCCCAACATGATCTGATAGGACAGTTTCTCTTCATGTTACTTGAATTGCCATCCGTAAGGGGATACAGAAGTATGCCTTTTCAGTTACTGTTCCTTTCCTTTGATGTTTGAATAACCTCCTTCCTGGTTTTTGGTTATTCTATTAAGCCTTGAGATGAGGTTATTGCAACTTTTCCTCTGCATGATGCATTGTTATTTGGGTTTGATAGTTCAGTTTCTGGTTTTTATCTATGGTGAATTTGGATTTATGATTTTTAATTCAATTATTGATTATATTGTTGATTATTTATTTAGAATAGAATAGAATAACAGAGTTACAAGGGACCTTGGAGGTCTTCTAGTCCAACCCCGGTTTGTGCTTGTTTTTAACCAAAGATGCATGTTTAGGAAATTGTGTACTATTCAGATTGGTTTGATTACAGCAATTTTATAAACAAATACATTTCCATGAGTACAATATAAAGCAAATGCTTTTCCATTTCAAGTTGGAAAGATTTGTGTGTATGCATGTTAGATTTTGAGGGAAGAAAACTATGGTGGATGTCCAATATAAATACTTTATTTTATAGCCTAGAAGACAGACCTGCTTGAACAGATTCTTCAAAAGTAATTGGTGTGATAGATTTTCTTCTAATAGTAGTTTCTCTGATGTATCTACTAATTATCAAAGTGAAAGGTCAGTATGAATCTATTTTTAATCCAGAATTTTGTAATATTGTAAATACTAGTATAGTTCTCTTTGCTTTTGGGAGAAATTGTGTTATTAGCTTTCATCCCAAGCTGCCATATGTTATCGTAGAGAGGTAACTAGAAAACAAATATTTAAAAAATATGATTTCTGGAATTCTTTCCAACCCTTAATAATAGCTCTTCTTTGGATCATGAGAACAGAAGGAAGGGAGTTTAGTTAGAAACATTCCAGATTACTGCCCAATTCCATTAGGAAAATGTGTTTGGTTTCTGTCCCCACTTCCCCGCCCCACACACAGTTTCTAACCTGGCTTATTTTCGGGTTCAGTTTTTCTTTTGCCAAACAGCTTCTCCCTGTCTCCCTGTCAAATTTGTTCTGTTCTGTTTTTAGATAATTATCTTGCTTGCTGTCTAACATTCTATTGGATTAGAAAAATAAACTTGGTATATGGACTTTAATATTACATGATTTGGGTGCTTGGCAATATTGTGCACATTTATGACAGATGTCGCATTTTCAGGTGACTGATCACCACTTGCAACCTTCACAGATAACTTTCATCAATTAAAGTCAGTGGGGAAACCAGTAGGAAGTCACAGGTTATGGTCGCATGATATTGTGCTTAAGACCACAGATGATTCATTTAATAGCTGCAGAAAAACCAACATTGAGTGACAAGTTAGGTGCAGTCACATGTTTTACTTAACAACCACATTGTTTAGCAATGGAGTTGCCAGCCCAGATGTGTTTGTTAAGTAAGGACTCTCCTGTAAATGTAGGCTTGTGAAACCATAATGGGATTTTAGTAGGCAGAACCTGTCAGTAAGAAGCTATAAGATATAAAAAGGAAAAAGTCATTGCATAATCTCGCTTAGGGGTAATAGCCAATTTTGGGCTATTTAGGGCCAGTTGCCAAGAGTTGATATGTGGTATTAAAATGTACATTAAAATGAAGTGTCTGTAATTATTTTAAATTATTTGAATTATAATTTGAATTATTTTCAAATGTTTCCATTTATTCCAGTATAGAGATCAGCAAAATTGACACAATTATCAGACACAAGAGAAGAGAATTGGAGCTGTCTTGTTCTGTATTAGCAAGAGTGGCAAGGTAAAATAGATGCCTGGTTAGAAACTTGTTATTAAAAAATGTTTGAGTTAGTAATTAATCTATACCATCTGTTACCAATATCTTAAATCGAGTAATATTTAGGTTTCCTCCATTTTTAACGGGGTGCTTTCGGAAATATTTGGCTTTGATTAAGTATGATTCATTCCCACCCAAAAAACCAGTCATGGTTAAAATTAATTAGGATTAATTTCAAAAGAAACAAACTTTTTTAATTTCAAAAGAAGCAAGAATCTTTCATATATGTATTTTTCCCATATACGTACAAACCATTTTTGTTCTTTTTCATTTTTCTTTTCATCCTCTGTGAATGAGGTCTGTGTTGTTTTGTTTTATTTTTGGTTTATAACCAGCAAATTAAATCAATAACTCAGAACCAAAGCAAGAGGAAATTACATGAATTAAATTCCATTTACACAATGCTTTGTTTTTAGGGACATTTCATAAATTCAATGTTAAGATATTTTGAAGATTAGATGATGATTGCTAAAGATTGCATAATTTATCAGACTATAAAATATTGGGGTTTCTTAATTTGCGGAAAGTGTTTCCCAAATCTTATGTGTTTTACAGTTGCCAAAGTATTTGAAACCAGTAAAGAATTTGACTACATAGCAAAGCTTTAAAAAAATGTGTTCATGTAATGCTTGTTTTTTGGTGGATTCATTTTTTTTTTTTTTACAGAATTCCTTCCATATCTTCTGAAGCAGAAATAGCACCTTGTCTTGTACTGGAAACAGTTTTTTCAATAAGTACTTCACCTTTGGAAAACTTTGGTAAATTATTTTTGTAAGTTTTATTTAGTTTATATAAAACATTGTAAAAATTAAATCACCTTCATCTAATAGCTGTGCTGCTATTATAATTATTATGAAAATATTTCAGCAGTGTATTATAATGGTATAAAAATATCTTCTTATTTTGCATGTGTGTGAACATTTTAATATGAAAAACTGAGTAAGTCTTTATTAAAATGAAAAGTTGAGATGAAGATAGAACAGAATGTGCAGCTTTGGGTCTAGAGCCCATTTTAACAACATTCTACTTTTTAAGAATAAAACAATTTGCAACTATGCCATACATTTGGCACAACATTAGTAGAGATAAATGTGAAATGTGTTTGAATATTAGTAGCTTGGGTTGGAAGTTAGGCTGTTGGTTTGAGCTCCAAGCTTAACAATTTAGTTGCAAACATTTCGTCACCATTTGAGAAGACATCGTCAGTGCATTTTGAATTGTGCTTGTCTGTGTGCTTGTCAGAACACAGGTCTTTAAATACCTTTTTGTGAGATGCAAATTAGTCTGAATGTTGTTTGTTCAGATAATTCTGAGTCATGGTCTGATTTCAGACTGCGTCAGTAAACAGACACATTGACATCGACCCAATCTACCAAACGCTGAGAATGAAAGAATTGCATCAACCACAATCTCGAAGGTAGCATTTAAAACAAACAAACAGACACCTCACTACGCAGCAACAAAATTATAACCCATTGGATCACAAGAACCACGTCTCAGTAACAACAGCCAGCCAGCCACTCAAACTATCAAACAAGCCAAAACCAGACCATGATTTAGAAGCACCCAGATAACAAGTCTAATCTTAATCTGCATCACACAGACAGTACTTAACTACAGCCCAGCAACAAAAGCCAGTCAATCAAACAGTCTGAAATCAGACCATGACTCAGAAATATCCGAACAAACAACATTCAGACTAATTTGCATTTCATAAAAAGGTATTTGAAAACCTGTGTTCTGACAGACGAGCACAATTCAAAACGCACTGGCGATGTCTCCTTGAATGGTGACAAAACATTTGCAACTAAATTGCCAAGCTCAGAGCTCCAACTAACAGCCTAGAGATAAATGTGTTTTCACATATTTGAGATTCTTTCCATGGGATTTGAGAATAAATGGCTGCACGAAAGAAGCAGCTTTTGAAATTGGAGTTGAAAACATCAGTATTACAAATGATTGGAATGAAGTTCCACCTTGAGGATAAAAGGAGAAATGGATAGATTCTTGAGTGAATTGAATACAACATATTTGGAGAATCATATAATTCCTGGAAGCAAGTTGTGAGTTTTTGTTGTTCTCAGATATTAGGAATGCTCCTGACAAGAGTCCAAGACTTCGTCATAAATGTGCAAAGTGCTTGGTATTAGCTGCTCAGATAGCTTTATAGTAAACCAGTACAAATCTTCTATATACAGGTAGTCCTTAAATTACAAATAATGTAATGGAGCCTGCCCATTCCAATCGTAACCTGAGGATTCGTGGGAGTTAATCTTGTACCTTGAATGCAATCACTCCTTCCTTTCACCTATGCATTCGCTAACCGAATGTGAGGCTCGCTAAGTGCACATGAGGTATCTCGGGGTGGGAAGGCCATGGGGGGGGGGGACTAGTGATGGAACAGTCCACCTGCTTCAGATCATCCAAGGCCTCCCCCTAACCACTGAAATCCCTCGGGCTCCCCACAATTGCCCCCCCCCAAACTGTCATGTCAGATCACTTACCTTGTAAAGATCTGTCTCCTCTCCAGTATCTCTGTTTCTTTGCCTGGGTATGGTGAGAACAGGGAGAACATGACAAGCACACCCTGCTCAGCTTCTCTGATCACCAAAACTTCCTACCACTTCTGGAGCAGCGGGCAGCCTCAGTGAGTCTCCTCCAAAGGCTTCCAGGCTCCGTATGGAAAACCGTTCGCCCGAAGTGTGGCTTTGAGGCAGTGAACTCACATTGCTCCAACCTCCTCATTAAAGTGCAACTACTTTTCCCGCTGAAGACTGGAAACTTCTGGGTGCCCTGATCCCGCAGGACGTCAGGCACTCATTCGCTGCAAAAGCGAATGGGTGCCTGAACTTGTGTGAGACCATATACTCCAGAAGTTTCCAGTCTTCGTCTGGGAGAAAAGTGTTTGAGTGAATTGCTCTGTTTCCAACTGCCCTAGGGTCACTCAAACAGTTGTCGCCCTGATGGAGACTGCCAAGCTTCGTCTGCATGGAAATAGGGCGCTTGAAATTGGAGTGAAAAGCTCCATTTTCAACCTGTTTCCAATTTGCTCTGTTTCCAACCTGCCGAGGGCTGCTCAAACACTTGTTGCCCTGACAGAGACTGGAAACTTTTTCTGCAAGGAAATGAGGTGCTTGAAAATGGAGCTTCTCTTCAGCAGAGGCCTTGAGGAAAGGCCTTTCTTGGTGAAAATGGAGCTCAGAGCAATGTATGCTCCCACTGGGTTCTCTGTTCTCAGCAGCAAAGGCTTTTTGCAAAGATGGCAAAAGGTTTTGCCAATGGAGGGAAAGCTTCGACGTTTTAGGCCTTCCCTCCATTTGCAAAGCCTTTTGCTGCAGCTCTCATCCAGACCTTGTTTACAGAGAACAGAGACCTAAAGTACCATGAGATCACGTGAGATCAATAGTGTGAGTTCTCACACTACTGATCTAGTGTGATATTGCGGTACTTTAGGCCTCCATTCTTTACATACACACCAAAGGCCAAGAAAGTGAAGGCTCTCTAGATCTTCATAAGGTGAGTATCCAGGCCTCTGCAGTTGTTCGTAAGAGCAAACAACTCTCGTGGTGCTGCAATATTTATAGTTTCGGGACTTGTTCATAAATGCTAGGGGGTGCTTATCGTGTAACATCAAACGTTTGCTAACAGAACACTCGTAATTCATTGATCACCTGTATTTACATTTGTGATTTATACTGTGGTCGTGAGTTAGAATGCAGTATTGCAGATCAATTCTGCTGACTGCCAGCAGTTCAATCCTGACCAGCTCAAGGTTGACTCAGCCATCTTTACGAGGTCAGTAAAATGAGGACCCAGATTGTTGGAGGCAATATGCTGACTTTGTAAACAGCTCAGAGAGAGCTATAAAGCAGTATGGAACTGAATATAAGTCTAAGTGCTATAAGAGAGGAGTTCAAAGGATAGGAGTTAACATCAGCTGAAGTGATGTTTAGTGACTTTGTTGACTGTACGTTAAACTGTAATATAACTTTTCTGGTGGGAAAAAGACTACAAAATAACCAATTTACAGCAATGATAAAATAATTTAATCTGTTCTCACTGAATAATTTGTTAGTATTTCTAAAATAATAATTGTTTTTACTGTGTCACAACAAAGTGTTTTTATTTAAATATTAGGATCTTCTAAATCAGGACATGTTGTTACATGTGTCCATGAAGGAGAAGAAAAAAAACAGACTTCCAATACTACTGGCACAAGAGGAACAAAAAGGAAGGTTTCAGATACTACTCCCAGAAGACGATCTACCCGAAATATTAAAACAGAAACTTCATATCAGTGTCAGAGTTCACCAAAATCCAGCAACACTGGATATGAGACCGGTGGTGGTGGTAGCTCATTTGTTTCTTTTACAGAATTGGAGAAATTAACCTCCAAACAGAAAGCTAAAAGAAATGTTAAACAGCAAGAACCTTTGGCTAAAAAGAAACTAAGAAGTTCTGGGAGTTATGGAAAAGCATCTAGTAATATAGATTTTGATGAACCTGATGATACAGAGATAACCTTGCTATTAGACAAAGGCAATTTAGCAGACAGTGAAAATAGCACCTCTGACCTTACTCATAAAAATGATGTTGACACTGAATCTTCTAATGGCTTAGAAAACTCTCTAGCATATAAGAAGGAATGCTGCTATGAAGGGCAAGATACGTTGGATATCTTAGAAACTGGTTCCTATGTTCAAGATCCTCCACTTGCCTTAGAAAAAGCTGCTGGTTCTTGTGTTGAGGATCTTCCTTTGCTCCCTCTAGAGGGAAACACTGAAAAATGTGAAGAGAAAGTTGACACTGAAACTGAAAACAAGTTATATTATAAAAATACTGCTGAGCAAGATCAGGATTTAAATATTTCTGGGAAACAATTATGTGATGATAATATTACATTTACTCATCAGTCTCCAGAACTAGGTATCCCCACCATTGAATTGCCAGCAAAATTGGATCCTCTGATAGTAACACATCAAATAGTAGAAAATCCTGGGAAAGAATTAGGGAGAACAGAATGCATGTTAATAGTAGATGATATTTCAGCTGTTTCTAGACATGAGTTGCTAGGAGGAACAGAATCTGTTCCAGTAGCAGATAATTTATTGGCTGGTACTAGAAATGAGTTCCAGGAAAAACTGGAATCTGAAGCATTAGCAAATAAACTAGTGTCTTGTCATAGAAATGAATTAAGAAAACCAGAATCTTCAGCAATAGATGGAATATTGGAGAAACCCATAACTGAATTTGCAGAAGAAATAGTCAAGGAGCCGCTAGATAATATCTCAAGTGAAGTACCATTGTATTCTTTAGGTATGCAAGATGTTGAAATTGAAAAAAAAGAATCAAATGTATATATAACTAATGAATATCTAAATAATAATGACTTAATAAATGTTTCCTCAGAAAATAAACTTAATCTGTCTTTTGAAAATGATAAAGCAGAAACTGAAACTAATACATCACCCAAGATATGTACTGAAAGTATTAAACACTTTAACAAAGATGACAGTGAGATAGTATCTATAGAATACGACTCATTTAATAGTAATCAGAATGCATCTCAGCTTGACCAACTATTAGCAAATGACAATGTAGAGCAGAAAGCAAATTTCTTACAAAATGATAGTAAACATTCTGTATCATTTTCAAATTCCGGTAAGAAAGAAGCAAAAGAAAGTTTCACAGATAAAAAGACACGAACCCGAAGATCACGATTTCATTCTCCATCAACCACTTGGTCCCCATCCAAGCAAGAGGGGAAAAGATCTCAATCTCCATCCCCCAACAGGGAAATTGTGGGGGAAGATAGAATCTCTCGATCTCCCAAAAGGGATATTTCCAAAGAAAGTCAGAGATTTTTATCCAAATCTCCTAAAAGAAATCCTGTAACATCTCCGTCCAGTTCTCCCAGAACAGATAGCCTGAAAGAAGAGAAACAGTCACTGCTGAGTTCTCCCAGAAAAGATCATTTAAGAGAACAAAGGGATTCTCCAACCATCTCTCCAAAAAAGGATTATATCAAAGATGGAGTAAGATCTTCTCGGACACAAGCTAAGGAATCGCCTCCATGGCACAAATGTAGGTCTCCCAATAGGGACAGAGCTAATGATAAAAATGAATTTAAAAGAGATAATGAAAGAGGGAGAAGTAGGAGGAGATGGTCACAGTCGCGATCAAGATCTCGATCCAGGTCCAGATCTAGGCCAAGAAGTAAAGGGCCTTCATTCCCTAGAAATGAGAGGGATGGCTATTCACCACCTCGATGGAAGGAACGATGGACAAATGATAATTGGAGAAGTCCCAGAGGAAGTGATAGATACAAAAGAAATGAACAGCAGAAACAAACAGAGTGTATGAAAAGTGAAAGAGATAGTGTAAATAAAGATGCAGATATGCAGAGTTCTACCAATCAGTACAGAAAGGATTATCCAGACTGGGTGATGGAAAGAATAAATTCAGTTCCAGAAACACGGAATAGAGAAAGAGAGAATTTTAATAATCAGCAACGGGAAGAAAATAGGCACAATGATTCAGGGGCTTTGTGGAGTGGAAATTATGGCTCAAGTTGGAATTCAAATCGTGGCAGAGGCAATCGTGGCAGAGGCAGCTGTGGTAGAGGTGGTTTCACATATGGAGAGCAGGCTGAAAGTCGCTGGCAAAATAGGAAAGCCCACTCAAGTAATGCAAATAGTTCTGGTAATGAAACTTCTAGATTTCCAGAACATCATCCATTTAAACGTAAAGCAGAACAAGATTTCACTTTTGATACACCTGCTGATAGATCTGGGTGGACATCTGCATCAAGCTGGGCTGTAAGAAAGACTTTACCAGCTGATGTACAGAATTATTATTCAAGAAGAGGTAAAAATTCTTCAAGCCCACAGTCTATATGGACAAAAGAAGAAGTAGCATCTGAGCAAGGTAATCATTTCTCCTATGCCTCTTAACTCCTAGGTGGAAATCCACATGTAGCCCCCAAGTCCCATTTTTACAAACACTTATTTGTAAACAGTATGCAAATATACACTGTGTGCACAATTATTAGGCAAGTTGTATTTTGGAGGATTAATTTTATTATTGAACAACTATATTTTCTTAGCCAATCCAAAATGTTAATAAACCTCAAACCTAAATAATTAAGAAAATAAAAGTGAGGTTTTGGCTTTCTTAGGAGAATATCTATCTATGCATAATTATTGGGCAACTATTAGTATGCAGAATTATTATGCAATTAAATGAAAAATTAACATTTGCCCATCTTACTCGTTTATTTGTATCTGTTAAAGAGAGAATAATAAACAACTCAAAAGGTACAAATAAACATTTAAAAAAAAATGTCTCAGTGACCAATATAGCCACCCTTCTTTTCAATTAGAGTCATAAGCCTTCCATTCATGAAGTCTGTCAGTTTCTTGATCTGTTGACAATCAACTTTTTGTGCAGCAGCAACCATGGCCTCCCAGACACTGTTCAGAGAGGTGTGCTGGTTTCCTTTACTGTAAATCTCCCGTTTAAAAAGGTCTCACAAGTTTTCAATAGGGTTTAGGTCAGGTAAGAAAGGGAGCCATGCCATTATTCTTCCCTCTTTAAGGCCTTTACTGGCTAGCCACGCAGTGGAGTACTTTGATGCATGTGGTGGAGCATTGTCCTGTATAAAAATCATGATCTTTTTGAAAGATGCAGACTTTTTCCTGTACCACTGCTTGAAATCTTTTTGTCTTCTGGCAGTAGGTTTGGGAGTTTATTTTGAGTCCATCTTCAACCTGAAAAAGTCCAACTAGCTCACCTTTAATAATACCAGCCTATACCAGTACCCCACCTCCACCTTGCTGGTGTCTGAGTCAAAGTGGGGCTCTGTGCCTGTTATTGATCCAGCCATGGGCCCATCCATCTGGTCCGTCAAGAGTCATTCTCATCTCATCAGTCCATAAAACCATAAAAAGCTATCTTGGCCTACACTTGCCATTTCAACTTATATGTCTTGTTCAGTGGTAGTCGGGTTTCAGCCTTCCTTACCGTGTCTCTGAGTACTGAACACCTTGTACTTCTGTCCACTCCAGGTAGGTTGCAGTTCTGGAATATGACAGCACTAGAGAATAATGGGTTCTTGGTAGCTTCATGTTTGATTCTTCTCAAATCTTTGGCAGTTAATGTGTGTCTTTTTTTTCTCAGCATGTTTCTTGCGACCCTATTGATTATTTGCAACAAAACGTTTGATGGTTCTGTGATCAAGCCCCAATATCTTAGCAATTTCAAGAGTGTTGCATCCCTCTGAAAGACTTTACAATTTTTGACTTTTCAGAGTCAGTTAAATCTCTTTTTTGGCCCATTTTGCCTGAAGAAAAGAAGCTGCCTAATAACTATGCACACCTTGATATAGAGTGTTGATCTCCTTAGGACACACACCCTCCCTCTTTACACAATACATATCACCTGATATGCTTATATCCACAAGTTTGTACAGCTTGGAGGTGGAAAATATGCATAAAAATGATATGGTCAAAATATTCACTTACCTAACTATTGTGCATACAGTGTACTGTTGATGGTTTGTGAAAAGCTGGTTTTTGTTTTATTTAATTTCCTTTTATGATGCAACAGAACTGACAAGTCCCTAAGATACTTAATTTCCAGTGGAGTCTTTAAGCTGCCTGACCTCCTGCCCCAAACTAGTTTTGATTCTTAGAGTTTCAATATGTATATTCAAATACCAACTTTAAAAAACTTGATAGCCTTATGTATGATAAACCTATGTATATGCATAAAACTTGAATGAATCTTGAATAAATCAGACTGATTCTAACAGATCCTGGATTTGTCCCAAGCAAAACAAAAAAATGGATCTGAATTATTGATAGAAGCTTAATACAGGTAATCCTTGGTTAATGACTGCTCTGTTTAGCGACCATTCAGACTTACAAAAGTGCTGAAAAAGTAGTTGTACAACCAGTCCTTAAAGTTATGACCTTTGTAGCATCCCCGTGGTCACATAATCACCATCTGCAAGCTTCACAGCCCATTTCCAACAAGCAAAGTCAATGGAGAAAATAGCAATAAAATCAAAGTCATGGTCATGTGATGTTGTACTTAATGATCACAGGTGTTGCACTTAATGACCACAGTGGACTAATATTATAAGCTTGTCATGATCATGTGATGTTTCACTTAATTATTGCATTGCATAGTGATAGAATATTCAAGTTATTAAGGTTATTAACTGAGGACTACTGTAAGTGATTTGGTGTGGAATCGCCAATTAATTCCACAATAAATATTATTTTAATGTGCTAAAGCACTTGATATATTGGGACTAATTTTAATAGTATGTGGGGAGTGTGAGTGAAAGTGACATCTGGTATAAGATTCTCTTCTGTTCATGGACACCACTTTACTTTTTGGGAGGGAGGGATAATGTTTTTGTATACCTTCTTTTTAAAAATGTCTGTTCCTCTCTGATAGATCCAAATTTCAAAGAACAAATCAGCCAACAAAGTGATGCTTCTCAGCTACCAGTAAATGTGTTGCAATCTCAGATGAATGTAATGACATCAGTAAACACACAGCATCAACCGATGAGTATCTTCCCGTATACAATGGGTGTTCCTACTCCTATTATGAACATTCAACACAATCCATTTAACCTTCCTCCACCAGTGCCCATGCACCTTCATTCAGGACTGCCTCTTGTCCAGGTAGCAGCTTCATCCAGTATGTCTCAGGGACCACCACCACCACCACCACCACCACCTCCATCCCAGCAAATTAACTTTATTGCTTCCCAACTTGATGGACAGCTGTTGCAGGTACCTATTTTAGTTGTTAAAAAACCCTCCAAACTGTTAATATATGTAGAAGTTTTTAATGCCAAATATTTGTATGTATGTATGGCTATTATATTAGGAATACCCATGTTTATTAATGTGGAAGCTCACTGAAAAATATTTGCTTCTATTCCAAGATACTTAAGCTCTGGATAAACAAAATGTATATACGTTGATTTGTTTGCATATGCCTACAAGCATCAATTTCTGTAGATGTATTTTAGTAAGCAATTATTTTTAGTATATCTCCCAATTGTGGAGCCAAGACATCCTGTAATGGGTATTTCTGAGCCTGAATTAAAATTCTAATTCTGCTTCTATTGCCCCTTTTTGCATTGTGTTGCTCTATAGAACATGGTTGCTTTCCAGCTTCTCCATGGCTAAACCAAGTTATAGTAAACATTAATCCCTCCCCACCTTTTCTTTCCTTTTTTATTTTCACTTGCCCTCCAGCCAGCACTGTTTGTCTCAGAGGTTGTTGCTAATGTTTTGAGACAAATGGAGTAGACCAAGCCCTAGAAGTGTGCCAGTGTACCCTTCAATTCTCCATCATGGTTTCTCCAGGGAAATGCAAATAGCACAAACAATGTCCACCTGCATACCATCTGCAACTGTCAGCAGGGCAGTTTCCAGTTCTCTGGGAATGTGAATACTGTGAGCGCTGAAGAGGAAAGACACTTTGATACCAGATACCCAATCCTTCTTTCTCCTTTCATCAAGTGAATCTTCTTGATTGGCTCCACTGGGAACTATGCCATACAATCCCTACTCTATCATATGCTTCAAGAAGCCCCAGAGATAGCCATGGTTTCTTCAACTGTATCACAGCTATCCTGGTCATAACTGCTGTATCCCTTATCCATCCTAGTGGATGGAAAATACTACCTTGGGCTCTCCTTGTAGGGAAGTGACAGGCCTCCATACTCTTCCTGAAATTCCTCTCCCCAGGGCCTTACTGCAGAGAACAAACTTGATTCCATCACTCAGGGAAACTGTCAGGCGAGGAAAGAGACTTAGATAACATATGATTCAAGACATCACTGTGCAGAATTTCATGTTTCCCAAAGCATTAATAAGAACCTTGAGTTTGACTCATATAATATCAAACCTATGGACCCATATAATATCAAATGCATGATTCATAGGGCTACATCAGATGCATAGCTCCTCCAAGAGAAGTTCATTTCATCACTAGCTAACCAAAACCAAATATTGTTGAAGGTCATAAATCATTTCCTTAATATGTAGATAATCACACAAATCAGGTGAACATTTAAGTATTGTTAAATTCCAGATGGAAACCTTGAGATCCATTGTGGAACATATCCAGAAAAAAGGATGTTAGTCTCACTAGACTTAGAGAAGTTAATCTTTGGATCAATTTTTGCATTCCAGTTCACCCAACAAGCACAGTTCTTGAGATTCAAATATGAGGATGCTAATTGTCAATATAATCTACTTGGCCTGTCTCTTGCGCCCATGGTATGCATGAATATGATGGTAATCACCATAGCCCCTTGCTGACCCTTGAGTATGTATGTTATCCCTATATGTTGGACCAATTCTCATTAACTGAATATGGAAAAAGGATGTCTGAATCATAGTGCATAACCTTGACAATTTGGAGTTTCTGTTCAATAAAGACGTATCCTGTTAGTTTACAACTTACAATACCTGTCTATAGGTCTGATCATAAAGGCCTGTTTCATTTGTCAAAGAAGAGGAAATAAGCAACTAATCACATAAATTCTACAGATTGCCCAGCCCAATCTGATCTCTTGATTTGCCATCTTCCAAGGCTAGATGATCACTTAAATAATTTTAATACCATAGCCAATTACAGTATCTGTTCCTCTCCTTTCTGAAGCTAATAGCCCAGAGATCCTAGGTATAAGCGATGATTCTGTCTAAAGTAATAAGAGTTGTGACTTTTGAAAATCCTTACCAGGAACAGGAATCCTTGAATACCAGGTTTAAAGTTACTGTAAAGCCAATATCAGATACTTTGTTTGGCCAATTTGCTCAGGAATCTTTGGCAAAAGAAGCTGCACATAAACTTTGTTGAGCTGAAGCAGCATGACTAGCTTTGAACAATTTTCAGGCTTTAAAAAAATTGAAGTATTATTCCTCTAACAGACAATGTAACCACCAAAATTTGCTTCAAGAGAGAGGGAGGGGGGTTTGCATATCTTTTGGTGTAAACTTTGGTGTTACATTACCTATTAGGCAATTGATAAAGGAAGCAACTAGTCTATCTCCTGGACTGAAGAAAACCTGTAAGAAACCTTCAGCATAGTGGCAAATGTGGTTCAGTAATGAATATCTGAACACAAGTAAATGGAGTTTTAATCTCAGTGTATTCAATCGAATCATTTTGATTTTAAGGAGGCTAGGCTAACCTCTGAACTCTAAGGTGGGGTACTACTTCTCATGTTTTCTAACACAAGGAGCAAAATATTCAGTACTTGGCCCAAAGACAGGGTTTTATACTTGCCCATATTACCAAATCCCAGATTCCTATGACTAATGAAAAAATTGCCCTAACTGACAAGTTCAGTGTATCATCTTTGTAACATGGTTCCATATAACTGATTTCTTGATTCTAGAAAAAGAAACTTAGGTTTCTGTGTGATGGGGTTAACTGTTAGATGTTTTCTTCACAAGAAGTTCCTTTTACATTCATATTTCCAAAGGATCAAGTGTTTAGTTTTGCAGAGTTACTCTATGTTTAATTTTCTGATTAAATTTTCTAGAATTAAAACAATAAGCAAGGCATCTTTAAACCAGGTCATACTAGCCACATAGATTTTTTGAAATGAATTGAACATATGCACCCAAGCAGTAAATAAATGAATCAATAGAATAAACTATTTTCTTGAGAAAACCTGGCCCTGGTATTTGCAGAATAATTTCTCAAGAGGTTGCTAAAATGGATTTTTAATATTTTTACATTTAATTCTTTCACGTTAAAAGACAATACTGTTAAGCTGTTCCCTTGTGATGCTGTCACATATATAGGCCTTTCAACAGTTATCAAGTCTTGGCGTGGAGGTACAATAGGGAAAATATCCATTCACCTGTTGTCTCCTCTTCTGTCATGAGAATTTGAGAGTTGTGATGGGCGTATAGGGAGAGTCTTGGTGCAGGCTGGAGTTCATCCAGATTGTTTTTTTTTTCTTTTCAAGAACGGACATGGAAAGGTGATATTCCAAGCTGGGTGTTGTATGTGATTTTGTTGTTGTTCTTATAATTCTTCTAACTGATGTGTTATAAATCGTAATGTGCCTTCAGGAATTCAAGGCAGTGTGGCATGCATCTGTTTTATCTGTATAGCAGTAAACCTGAGAGGTAGATTGGGCTGAGGCATGTAATTGACCCAAAACCATATGGAAACTGCTGTAACTGAGTGAAACTGACTCAGGCTGACTCAGGAATTCTGGGAGTGGAAGTCCACAGGTTGTCAAGGGGCCATAAGTTGTAGTGCTCAGCCCTGCACTACAACTTATTTCTGCTTGCCAGTGCTTATTCTGCCATATCATAAACATTTTTGGTAAGACGACTATCTAAGCCATCTTGGGAAAGGGGTCTAAATGTTTGCTATAATGCTGATGTCTCAAGGACTCTTAAGACAGTAAAGTCAAAAAATAAGATTCTTCCAATTTCAGTTAACTGATCTAGGTATAAAATCAAGTTCATGACATTTACTGCTCATCACATTGCCTTGTAGTGTTGTTTTATGAGCATTTCAGCTAGCTGCTACTACATCAAGAATCAGCCTCATTACTTGATTTCTTCTCTCTTTATAATTGTCCATAATGGTGCTTACACAAAATTGATTTTCTCCCTAAACAAGGCCATTACTTATTAGGCCACCATTAAAAATGCCTGAAATGATTGGAATGAGGAAAAGGGAAATAATGTAAAAAGGATCCTCTACTATATACAACTTGCTGAACATCAACTTTCTTCACACATAATATGCTCTCTTTCAACTTGAATAATATAAAGGTTTTTCCCTTACCCATTAATTTTATGTTCTGCAAGTCGCATATATATTGGAGATAGCAGCATCCCTTTAATTCATTTGCAGTTTAGAATTCTGTTTAATGGTACTGCATATAACTAGTTGGACACTTAATTCTCTTAACTTTTCAAAACAGGCTGCTCCAACTACTTCCCATGTTGCTAACAGTGTGAATACAACACACTTGTCTGCTCCAACAGCAGCTCTGGGAACTGTGGAATCTATCCAGGGATCGAGTTTGGGTAACACAGCATCATCAAATAACATCAAATCCTCAAATGCTGCTGTAAAATCGATGGAAAAGAAAGCAAATGTCACAGTGGAAGCCAGCGCAGATAGTTCCAAAAAAGACCAGGTAAATTCAAAGCAAAGAATAACGTGAATAATTTTGAATAACTAAAAATAGATATAAATTGCCTTGAAAATAATGTTTGCATCAGTCAATTTTTATAATCTTTTCCATGGGATTTAAGAATTTTACAGTTTGTGACTTCTGGCGGTGATGTGGGGTTGAGGCAACATGGGAAAAATCGCTCCGTTCCCAGTGCCAATTTTCCAGCGTTTTGGTGCCCTTTAAGGGTGAGGTTCAGTCCTGGTGGGACCGGCAGAAAGAGGGGAATCTTCGGAGGAGGCATGGAGAGGTGCGGTCTCCCACCACATCAAGAAGAACCCTTAATCCAAGCGTGGAAGAAGACAGCCGGCATGCCTGACTCAGAGGCCTGACGCCCTGATCGAAAACAACGGGAAGCAGAGAGTGAGTACGGTGCGAGAAGTGACAGTGAGAGCAGAAAAATAAAGATTTTAAACTTGTTCAGATAGTTGGAGAAGAAGAAGAATTTGGATTCCGGAGGCGCAGTGGGCTGAAAAAGGCTCAGATTGTAAACGGACGGCAATTAACGAGGAGAGCAAAAGTGAAAAGGCGAATTTCGGACCAGCAGAAAAAACACCAGTGAAATATCAAGGAAAACGGGTGTTCTAGGAAGCTGGGAGAGAGAAGTGAACTGAATACGAGGTTCTATTTCTACCCCTACCTTAGCTGCTCCAATGGAAGGAGAAATGTGGATTGGCAAAAAGTAAAAGACGCACAAGAGTGACAGTGCTGATTAGAGATCGCCATATTTAATTACTTGTGAGTGAAAATTGAAAGTGTGAAAGAAAGAAAGACTATATTTGAAGCACATCTGAACTTTTTTAAAGAACATACAAAAGCTAGAAATATTGTGAACTTTTAGATACATAGCTTATATATTGACATATTTATTCATTGTTAGAGAAACTTTTGTATTTTTGTATTTATCTAATATTTATAATTAATTGCTAGCAAATTATTATTACATTATTACACATATATATATATATACACACACATATATATATGTATGTGTGTATATATATATATATATACACACACACACACACACACACACATTTATAATTATATTTATAGCTATTTATATACATAACCTACATATTGATATATTTAGTTACCGTATTTTTCGGTGTATAAGACGCACCGGAGTATAAGACGCACCTTAATTTTGGGGGAGGAAAACAAGGAAAAAAGTATTTTACCTCTGCCTACCAGCATTTAAGGTGGCGCCGCCCTCCTCTTCCTCCTGCAAGCGAGAGGTGCAGGGACTACTCACTTTCCCCCAAAGAGACCCCTAGCATGCTCTGGGGGGGAGGAACAGAGCACAGCCTGAGGAACAACCCTCCCTCTTCGGGACAGTGTGGGGGGGGAATCTGCTCAGCAGCTTTGGGGAACAAGGCAGGTGCCACGATTTGCAGCTGGTCACCCCTCTGGCCGCGCTGACTTCACTCCCCAGCAATGTGAGGAGCTCCCCAGCAATGTGAGGAGCAATGTGATTGCGGGTTCGGGCGGCAGACCCGCGATCCCCTTCCCGATTCCAAACATGGGGTGTGTGCAGAGACAAAAAAAAGTGTACAGGCGGCGGATCTGGCCAGGAGGAAAGAGAAGTTGAGTCTGCTGAGAAGGAGGACGGGGGCACACGCTCTGCAATGTGCAGAAAAAACACTTTTAGGTGTCAGTGCTACAATCTCCTCCCCGAATCCAAAGCACTTTCCAGTTCCCCGCTGCACATTGCAGGGGAACTGGCCGCCACCTGAAGCGCGACTCTTGAGGTTTGCATTTTGGAATCTGGGCAGCGATGGCTGGAAAGGAGGAACGTTTCCCTTTAGGGGCTCCCATTCAGCTCGGCTTGGCTCCTGGGTGCAGAAAGTGTTAGGCAGTGGCGGCAGCGGCTCCTCACATTGCTGGGGAGTGAAGTCAGCACGGCCAGAGGGGTGACCAGCTGCAAATCATGGCACCCGCCTTGTTCCCCAAAGCTGCTGGGCAGATTCCCCCTCCCCCCACACTGTCCCGAAGAGGGAGGGTTGCTCCTCATGCTGTGCCCTGACCCAGATCCCTGCCGCCTGGAACTGGCCGAAAATGGCCGAAGGATGGGGGCCGGCGAATGGGCGGGGCTACATTTGGTGTATAAGACGCACCCAGATTTTCACCCCCTTTTTGGGGGTAAAAAGGTGCATCTTATACACCGAAAAATATGGTACTTATAGAGGAAATTTAGTATTAGCAAATTAGTACTTCCTAATTACTTATTAATTATTTATAGCTGTTGTGCTTTCTCTCTTCCTTTTCCTATTTTTCTTTCTCTCCTTTCTGTACATTTACTTCATATTATCTTATTGAATATTTAAAGTAATTATTTAAAGTTAATACTAGATCTTTTCAATTGATTAAATTAATTAGTATTTAGTAATCATATAAGAATTTTAGTAATTAGAGTATTAAGATATTTATGAATCTTTCTTTTTAATAGAACTTTATTAACTAAGTTAGTATTATACTATATTAAGAGAATAGAGAAGGGAGGGAAGGAAATTGAATTCTAAAGTGGATGGTGATTTGGGAGGAGATAGACAGAATCTTAGGGGAACAGTATAAAATATTAAAGGAAATGACTAGTACCACCACAACCACTGTGAAATCGGGAAAGAAAACTACTTCGACACTGATTGGATCATCGGCTTCCCCTGCAGCACAGAGGACAACAGAAGGAATGTTCCCATCAGATAAGCAACCTCCCGCTTTAAGCATGCCAACTATGCAGGCTACACTTATAACAGGAGACCATGATTAAAATGCAAGAATGTATGACCAAGAATCATGAAGAAACAAGGAGAGATATCGACGAGATTAAAAGAGAAGTAAAAAGTGACATACAATAGATAGATGAAATTACAGCCTTGATGGACATAACCTGCTTATATGGACAAGTATCTGGTTTTAAAATAAATGCAGCCAAAACGAAAATAATACCTAAAAATATGGTCAGAAGCCAGAAAGAAGAGATAGAAAGGTTAACAGGATTTGAAGTAGTTAAGAAGGTTAAATACTTAGGGGTTTATATTATGACTGCAAATATGAAATTATATCAGCACAATTATGAACCACTATGGCACAAAATACAAAAAGAGATGGAAAACTGGAAAAAACTACAATTGTCTTTGCTGGGAAGGATAGCCGCTGTAAAAATGAATATTTTACCAAAATTTTTATTTCTTTTTCAAATGATACCTATACTTAAAAAGATGAAAATTTGAAGGAATGGCAGAAGGGCATAAACAAGTTTGTGTGGGCAGGGAAGAAACCTCGAGTTAAACAAAAGATAATGCAAGATATCCGAGAAAGAGGTGGCCTTAAAATGCCCAATTTAAGATTGTAGTATGAAGCCGCTGCCCTCAGCAATTACAGACTAGATAAATTTAACGGAGGAAAAGATATTGAATATTGAAGGATATGGTTTGGTCTACGGCTGGCATGCTTATTTAGTCTATGACAAGAAAGTAGATAAGGCTTTTAAAAGTCATATATTAAGAAATTCTCTATTGTGGGTCTGGAAAAAGTACAAATATAAATTAAGTGATAAGTTACCAATATGGACAGTACCCAGACACGCGATAGAGAATATAAACTTAGAGCAAAAGCAAGATAAGATTACATATAAGGAACTTCTTTATAAGGAAGGAGTCAGATTACAATTAAAACCAATGGAGCAATTAAGAGAAGAAGGAATTATTAGGACATGGTTTCAGTATGGACAGCTGCAGGCCAGATGGAGAGAAGATCAAAAAATTGGTATTTGGCAGCAGGATGAGAATTTGATAAAGCAAACAAGAGATAAAGGTCAAATGCATATAAAAAGGTTGTATAATGCACTAGTGGAAATAGATTCAGAAACAGAGTTAGTCAAGGACTGTATGATAAAATGGGCACAAAATGTAGGTGAACCAATAATGATGGAAACATGGGAAAAGATATGGGTCAGAAATGTAAGATTTACACAAGCACAAAATTTAAGGGAGAATTTTTATAAAACGTTTTATAGATGGCATTTAGACCCAAAAAATTTAGCCTGTATGTATCCAAATCTACAACCTAAGTGTTGGCGATGTGAATGTAAAGATGCTACATATTTTCATATATGGTGGACATGTAAAAAAATTAAGGCTTTTTGGATAAAAATATGGTGGATTATTCAAAACATTTTAAAGAAAAAAAATTAAATTTACACCACAGTTCTTTTTGTTGGGAATAGTCATGGATTGTACTGTAATAAAGACTAAGTTGGTTTTGAACTTAATAACGGCTGCCAGGTTACTGGTGGCACAGTACTGGAAGAAGGAAGATCCACCCACCATTGAGGAATGGACATTAAAAGTTGTGCATTTGGCAGAAATGGCGAAAATTTCATCATATCTTAAAGACCATTCAAATGAAAGATATATATCGGAATGGAGAAGATGGATCGATTACATACAGAAGAAGTATCCGAATAAGAAGATTCATATAGCATATGAATGAAGTAACTTTGAGTAGTTTATGTTTGTTTTTTGAATTATAAGGAGTTAAGGATCTAGGGAGAATATGAAATGTAACAATTTGTTAGCATATTCTAGCTTTTGATTTGTGAATGCTATACCCTGTGCTTGTTCTGGGAAGTCTAGGGAGGGGGGTGGGGGGAAGGAGGGAAAGGGGGGTGGGAAAGGGGAGGGAGGGGTTGAGGGGGGAAGGGTGGGGGAGTGAAAATGTTTGTACTTTCTATAAAACTTTTCAATAAAAAAACAAAACAAAAGATAGATGAAAAGATAGACTCAGTACAAGAAATTATACAAAAAAAATGATCAACGAATAATAGCTATAGAAAAGAAAACAGAGCAGACCGGAAAAAAATGGAATCTTTGGACCAGAAAATGATGGGATTTAATAAAGAATTGGAAAATACTGTGGCACATCTGGAGATGGAGAGGGCTGCATTCTACCTGTGCTTTCAG